TGAGGGTTACCCATAAAAAGGTTATCGCTAACGACTTGCCTAGAGCCCTGTGATCCGTCGAGCTCTTCCACCGTCCTCCTGTTTGCCTTCTTCCTGCTTGACATTATAAATGGGATTCAATACGAAAGGTAACAGATACAAAATAGAATAGTTCCAAAATTCAGTTCAGAATTAAGATAAACGATTAAAATTCCAAATGTTTCCTTGTAATTCTTAATAATCCAAATAGATCCAAATTATATGCGTTCTGGTAAATATTTCCAAGTATAATTCACGCCAGAAGGAAAAACATCAGACTGTAGAATTTATTTCGCTGGCGGCTGTCCTAATCGCGTCCAATAGAAACACACCGGTACGATACTCCTAGATCCACGTCCCAGCCAAATCAGAAAGCCAAAAATTCTAGGAGAAAACCGTCTCTATTGTTATAAAATGGAAATACAGAGGCTTACGATGTTTATGTTTCTTCCAGGACTAAATTACTCCGTAGAGTATCTATTACAATAGCTAGTAAGTGACACTAAGTCCAGCAGCCACCGCGTCTATCCAAAAATGTGGCGGTAGCCATATTATATCAAATTTAAACAATATATGTACAATTCAGAAGCAAACACAAAAACTTCGATATAAGTACAAAATATGGAAAGAATAACAACATACAATGGTAAAATCTCAAATTGGAATCAAATAAAATACCAAAAATGTCAAGAGAAAAAGTCCATCAGGTCATGGCAAAAATATGTAAACATGGAGGGATTTTCCAAAACACAAAGCATTCAAAAAGAATTCTACAAGGTTTGCTGCGATTAAAAGCTTGAGTATTAAAGATAGGGCGTGTGGTGATAAATACTTTACTGCCACATTTAATAATAACTTTAGGCTTTGGTGGTAGTGCTGTTTACCTAGTGCTTGGATAATTATTATTAGGGTCCACGTTTAGATGTTGGCCGTACATGTAATTACTAGTCTTGAAAGTTAGAGGGGCTTGCGGTTGATCATATGATATAAGAGAATCAAACCTGTTGATCGTAGCTCGGAGAGTCGTGGCTTGACTGGTTTGAATCCTAGCCGTAAACAAGACTGTGTGGAGTCGTCGATACCAGAGGTGCGATTGTCGGAGGTAAAAAAATTTCGAAAGGAAGAGAAAACGGTATAGCCACCAAGTAGTAGGGAATAGAGTCCTATACCCTAAATATTGCTTACTGAGAGGCTAGTCACGAAAGCGTCCAGGTACATGTACCTGGCGATCTGGATCTGAGACAACAGTCTCGTTCGCAGTTTGTGGTTGGGAGCTAAGGATTGCAGTCTCATCCGAATTAGAGTGCGGCGTGGTCTGCTAATCTGAATGTGAGACAGAATAGAGGTCTCTGTTGTGTCTAGTGTGGGGTCTGACCGTTATGTGAGGATCCGGTTAATGGATAAGATGGGTCGAGCATTGTGTCGCGACTTATCGAGTAGGGCGTAGTCATCTACTTGTGATGGTTTGAGACAATCAGTACTAAACATGCCGATCAACCTTGAGGGTGTTTTTGTGATGGGAGATCAAAAGTCCATCGTAAAGCTGTTTCAAATGTTTACAGACCGAATCTACTCATTTAAAAACATGTGAACAGGTAAATAACTATCGAGGTAGAGCGATCTGTCGATGCTGTATACGAGCTGACACCGGAGGCAGTGTTCACAAGTACGCAGCTAGTCTTTGGACGTAATACGATATAACGAAAGAATCACTCTCACGGGCCGTGAAAATTTTCGGCAGACGCAAAGTCTTGCCGCATACTACTTTAGAGACGGAACATTGAATTTCTGCCTTTAATGTTACGTTTCCAATCAACACGCTGATGGTGGGGGCTGTGACTTCAATTCGTCGATTTTTGTGCATCTAGAAGCCCATAGTTTCGTTGCTTTAGCTAAGGCGTTAGGTTCAGAAACGGAACTAGCTTTCTTAGACTAAATTCCAAAAGATAATCACTTCTTCGTTGTCCCGACAGAGAAGGAATTCAAATAAATCGGAAAAACAGGGACAGACAACTTTGTTTTCTCTTACTCTCCCATGGACCGCAAGTCAGATAAAGTAAGATGGTGAATTTTACAAAATTCCTTCAAAGTTTCGAAAACCAAGTGTTCTAGTCATAGTGGCTCATGATTTCATTGCCCAAGTAGGTAAAATAAACTAAACCCTAGGGTCCTTGGTTGGATCTAAAGGTATTGCGAAACGCACAGATGACTAAGCATTAGACTTAAATAAATCACATTCTCGCCAGCCATCTTTTGGTGGCTTGACAGATGACTGCTGCTTATTCTGGCGTAAATGTTTCGACTCAGATGTTCTCTCACGGGCATGCGTTTGTCAGCGTCTGTTTGACGTACTTTAGCTTAATAATAAAATATCAGGAATGTATTACATACTCCTAATCAGCATATACCTTAGTGAGAAACGTTGTGGATGTAGAAGTAGGCTAGGAGACATTTTAGGGCAGCCGAACCGAAACGTGGTGCCGTTTGATGAGGAGCATCTTCGGCTAGTATGTGTATTCAGTGGAATTGGTGAGGTTGAAAACATAGTTCAAAATTTCTGGAGTTATTTATTTCAGGGATTTGTATAACGCTACGTACTGTCGACGACTCAAATAAACAAATCATACTGATTTATCAGCACTTTTCTTGCATACACCTGCTTTATATTTATAGGTCACTACCTGGATGGAAGTCCGTTAATGGTAAGCTTATTCCCTATCCTCAACCATCCGAACAGTACCTCATCATGTTGTCAGCCTGTCTGAAAGAATATCAGCATCATCGGTAAATAATTTTATTGTGGAACTTGAAAGCCAAAGGAAAATTTACTGCATGAATCGACAAAGGTTGATAAACCAATTGCCCTTTTAACTGAAGCTTGAGCATTCAGTTCAAAAATTTTTACCAACTGATTAGAATTAGTAAAGTCAGTTAGTTAGACTGCAGTACTTTGGAAGTTACTGGATACCTGAAACCATACCGAAAGAATAAGAACCAAGTTCAAGCAAATCAATTAGTTTTTACTAACACGTGAAAATGCTATTGGATATTGAAATCTGAGGAGCTTTTTACAAAGGTATTCGTTACGTTGCCTGATAAGCTTTTAAGTGGATCCTTATTGTTGCACTGTATGGCACATATTGGTAAACATCTGAATTTCCCACTCGTATGTGTATATTCCAATAACCCTTTATTCCATGCGATTATTTGACTTTTTAAAAATTTCCATAGCATCCTATATAATTCTTAGATGTCTGTTAGGTTTCATATCCTGTTGGTTTTCTGTATTGGAATGAATTCTTTAATTTTAAAATTTCTCAGCTCATTTTTCATGCATCTGAGGTAGATCTTCATTCAAAAGTCAATGTGGAAAAAGTTTCCCTAGTATTAAGTTTTTATTTGTTATTCGCTTATTATGAACGCAAATCGTATTCTTACAGTTACGCTTGGAAAGTCCATATTATTTGTAAAAGCTTACGCCATGGTATAAGCGTTTTTTTTTGTTAATGTCTAAAGGTCTGAGGTATATATAAAGTTGCCACATTTTATTTACGGATGTCATTTTGTTTTCCAGTCTGATTTCGTAGTAATTTCCTCAGTTCTCTTCTTAAAACAGTAAATTTACATTCTAAAGTGTTTTTTAGTTTTGGTGAAATCGAGACGTAATTTTTTTAAAACCTCAGCAATTATTGTTTCATTATTTTAATCCTTTAACATGTACTCCTAAACAACGTTTAGTCTTTTAAAGTCTTCATTCTATCTAGCTAAGTCTACATTACGTTCATAACTCTTTGACTGTTATGCCATAAGCATATACCTTAGTTGATGGGTACACTTCTATTAGTTAAAATGAAAATCGAGTAAAGACTATTGACCACGGTTTAGTTCGTTAAAATATATGTATTTACTATGTTTCAACAGAGTCCGGGTACGTAGAAGAGCTCTATGACTGATTGGTCGCACACCAAGTCTTACCTTCCAATTATGTGGCTGAATATGTACATTTCTTGACATATTTGAATGTATGCATGCTTCAATTAAGCTAGATTACCGGAAAATTGTGGTTTTTTGTATATGATCTGGTTAGCTTAGAATCTCCGTTAAAGGGTGTTGAGGGTGTTAAAAGCATGTAATCAAGTTTCTGTGTTTTTACAAAAAATTGGCTTTTCAAGTTACGTAATATGTTTGACACGTTAAATGCCTCATCTTTGTACAGTCATTCGCTTAGTATTATCCGGATCCTAAACTTTATAGTTTGTATATGTGATTACCGTTTCCAGTCTATTGTATGGGCGTTAGTAGACTAGTCGATTGCACAAAACGGAACATCTAAGTATTTATGCACCATAAAAGTCATTGACTTAGTGTGTGGACTGGGATACTTCCCAGTTGCCTAAGCGGTTGACCAACAACAGGTCTATACACTATTTGTTCCATCCAGTTCTTGGAACCGTCGGGCTCTGTTTGTTTTGAATGAGGATTTTCTAAACTCCCTAAATGGATAGTTTGTACCTACTGTTCAGGTCTAAGTCCTGGCTGGATATTCGCTTTTCATCCTCCAAATCCGGTAACAAACACCCTGGCGGTGAGAAGGCAATGAGTAGAACTTCCCTAGCAATAGGTGCCTACTTGTAGCCATGTGAGACCATTTTGAGAAGAGCGGACTCTTCCCACTCTCTAAGCCGTACCAGGTCATTTGGGGGATGCACATGTATACTGACCTAAGATGTTACACTTACTATCATATCAAAAAAGTAAGTTTGAAAACTAAAATACTGACATTATCATTTCCCACCCTTCTCAATAATCATAGTTGTTTTATTTTCATGCGTGCATCAAGTTCAAATGTTCACACTCAACTTTTTTCTACATTAATTTACTAGATTTTCCCAAACTATCATTCTTAACTGACATTTAATTCTTAGATATAGAATAATGCATTCGTACGTTTATTTCATTTTATAGTGACATAATTTTTGTGCATGGCTACTGTTCCCAGTGGTTCTAAACAACCCGTTTGCGTTCCTGATAATGTTACCGGCAATAAGGTGGTACATTGGAAAATACACCGTCGACAACTTGTTAACCCATCGGTTTCTATCTGTGAACTTGTTGATGACACATCTGATAAGATAGACATTAAAGCTCCTGGCTATGGTTGGGTAACAAAGATGAAAGATGAAGGTACCACAGTTGCTCCTGGGTAAGATAAATGTACCTACTTTTTCATTTGTAAGGTGTGTCCTATTCAACTTCCTACCATGCACACATCATGTTGTGATGAAAGATTTGTGTGCAGAGTGTGGTGCGAATTTACGTAGGTAAGGTTACTTCTTTGTCTTAATCAACTTTTCCTCCAGAGAAGGGGGTATATCAGGTGAGAGAATTACTGATGCAAGTGCTAGTATACCAATGGTACATGCAATCCCAGAACTTCACGTCAGTGAAACAGTAAGTTATTAAATGCATATTTAAGTGCCAAACACCCTTATTATTCCTAATTTTAGAAAGTATTATTCACTTTTGATTAATTGTAACGAATGTTTTGTCTTTCACACATTGATTGACTTCCTTGTTTTGTTCATATGATTATAATTGGTCAAAAAAGCCAGCATTTTAAAAATTTTCATCAAACTATTGTCTCTTTGACTCTCATATTGATTAATTGTCTTTTTTATTCTGAATGTATCTAACTGTTAAATAGTCATGCGTTTTAAAAGCAGTGAGACTTATTCGCGTCTTATGAGAATAGTTAGAAGGAATACAGTACAGTCCGGAAATACATCAGTGTAATTAATGGAGTTAAATAAAACTAGATAGAGTTTTGCGTTTCTCGGACAATATCGGAAGTGAGTATATATATATATATACAAGGTAAGGGTGGCAGACCAATAAATGAAGCTATGTTTTGCCATTCAGGAATAGGTTAGAAGAAAGTTAGGGGCGACCAAACCAAAACATGGCAGAAAGCCATAAAGTCACTGAAGACAAGTGGTTTGAGTCATAATGGTAGGTGTCGACTACCAGGTTGGGACCCGTAAGATGATAGTAATCGATGGTTAGAGACCCTGAATGACATGGCTCAAAACTGTTTGCATTGTTGCAGGTGCATTCATTCTTTGTGTTCTCTCAAATCCTAACCTTCTGAATTCCTCCTCCTCACCTTTATGTTTATCTTTTTAAGTCTATTTCACTAGATTCTACTTCTTGAATAATATCTTTGAACCCTTATGTTTCCGACTACTGCCGGTGCATTTATTCTCTGTGTTCTCTGAAATCCTAATCTTCTGAATTCTTGAACCCCTCTACTTTTGACTTTCTAAACTTTTCTCACTGAATCATACTTTTTGAATAATATCTTCTAATCCTAACCTCTCCGATTACTTCTAATACCCTTACTACCTCTTCTAATATTGGATTTGAATCGACAATTACATCTCTGTGCTGACGTGGTATGGCGACATGGACTGATGTACTTACGTACGAAGTTCCACGTTGCATCTGACTGACTGATTGAATACCTCTACTACATCTACTACTATGGGATTTGTAGTGACAATTGCATGTCTGTGCTGACTTGGCATGTAAACTTGAACTGATGTACATTCGCACGTACGACGTATGTACCAAGTTCTACATTGTTCCTGACGGACTGCTACTTTTCGTTTATTTGTTTCGTTACAATTATTCACGTTTGTCGTTTTCTTTGTATTCACAATCTGTTTATTATTATTATTATTATTATTTTCAAATAGGTTGCCGATGAAATTGCTCTACAGGATCAACAAAGTTTATTAGCTGCTCGTAAACTTGTTTTACTGGTTGATCTTGATCAAACAATCATACATACAACTAATGATCCACAGGCTTTTAAATATAAAGTAATCAATAGATATCTATCTATATATCTATATATTTAATGAAATATTCTGTGAAGTATATGTATTTTTTACAAGGAAATTTGTAGTGAGCGATATATATGTTCGATCTGGTGATATTGAATAATGTCAGTGTGTTTAATGTCTAACTAACTAATCCACATGTCTAAGGTCCACGCTGTAAACTGTGTGGTTTTTTTTCAAAAAAAAAATTTAATAAACCGAGTAATAAAGCTAGGGGCGGCCAAACCAAAACATGGCAGAAATCCATGAAATCATTGACGAGTGGACTTAGCCATGTTGGTAATTGTCGACTACCTGGTTGGGGTCCGCGAGATGATAATAATCGATGGTTAGAGACCTTCAATGACATGGCTCAAAATCGTTCACAATGGCGCCGGTGGATTTATTGTTTGTGTCCTCTCAAATCGTAATCTTCCGGATTCTTCAACCCCTCTAGTTTTGACTTTCTAAACTTTTCTCATTTAAGCATACTTCTTGAATAATATCATCTAATCCTAACCTCTCCGATTACTGCTAATACCTTTACTACCTCTTCTACTATTGGATTTGAATTGACAATTATATCTCTGTGCTAATGTAGTATGGCGACATGAACTGATGTACTTATGTATGAAGTTCTACGTTGCAACTGACTGACTGACTGACTTTATACACTAAACAACTTAATATTACCTTCAACCAATCAATAATATCTTAACCTCGTCATCAAACTGATCTTGTTAGGATGTATTGTCCATATGCACATGTTTTGTAAAGTTTTAGAATATTACGCTGGTTAGCGCAAAGTTGTAGTCGAAATAAAATCAGCTGATTATATATAATGTGAATAATCTGTATTATGACTATGATTACACTTATTGGTTAGAGATAATAAATATAGTAAGAGTAAAAGTGTGTTACAAATGTCCAACCACCGACTGCCTCAACGAGCGATATTTTGTGATGTAGGTGGTAGGCTAGAGGAAAGCTATGGGTGGTCAAACCAAAACATAGCAGAAATCTATGAAGTCACTGACAACTGGACGAAGTCATGCGAGTAGGTGTAGACTACTTGGTTTTGGTCCACGAGACAATAGTAACCGACGTTTAAAGACCTTGAATGACATGGCTTAAAGTCGTTTGCAATAGCGCAGATGTATTCATTCTTTGTCTTCTCTCATGACGTCATGGACTCAGAATCTTTTCTTATCTCTTTTCCATTATTGCTAATACTTTTACTAACTCTACCACAACGGGATTTGAAGTGACAATCGCATCTCTCTGTGCTAATGTGGTATGGTAACTTGAACTGATGTACGTACATTCGAAGTTCTATGTTGTAGCTGACTGACTGACTAAGAGTAAAGTGTTTCTCTCGTGTAATCAACATTTTTACTTTAAAACAGAGTTTTCGACATTATGAATTCGGTTTCTTTTTGTTGTAAGTGTTAATGTTTCTTTAAAAAATGCATCTCTTAATATCTTACATTTTTACTTCTCTTATCAGTAGCCAATGGTTCTCCAACTGAATGCCAGTCTATAATAAAATTTTTATCTTGATAAATTGCTTTATTTATCATATTTGAGAGTTGTTAGGAGGTGTAGAAAGGATTTGATTCTGGCCGATTTTGTCTCGTGTGCTTTTATGCGTATAAGGGCGGATGTTACTTCCCGGCTGTTCACACCATGGAAGGGCTCTAGTTATCAGAAGGAGCATCGGCCTCGTGACTTCCGGACGGACTTGGCTTTCATCATGAGACGTCATAACTCTGCTAAAGGAAGACCTTCTAACTCACAGAGCAGTTTAAATGGTTTGAATTAGTTTTTCTTAGCGAGTTCGTTTTTTGCAAGGTGGGATCTCCAACCCCAATCCCAACCCTTCTCCTTTATCCAGGCTTGCGATCGGCAGTAGCCCCGGAGGGTCTACAGGCGGAATTCCTATGTTATTGTTGACTAACTGACTGATTGATTTGTCATATTTGGTTTCTGTTTACTTGCCATTATTATTGTTATTATTATTATTATTATTATTATTATCATTCATGTGTTTATTTTCAACACTTATTTTTTTTCTGTCTCTTCATAGAATGTACATCGATATCGTTTACCAGGATCACCACTTGTTTATCATACACGTTTAAGACCTCATTTAGAAAAAGTTTTAGATTGTCTTAGTCAATATTATCAAATGCATATTTGCACATTTGGTAATCGTGTCTATGCGCATCAACTTGCGTCAATGATTGATCCAAAGCGTAGATATTTTTCACAACGTATTCTATCACGAGATGAATTTTTTAATCCAGTTACAAAGTCAGCAAATTTAAAGTTAGTATACATAATAATAATAATAATAATATATGATTATAGACTGTATTTATCAAGCGTAAACTACTACTAAGATTATCATTTTTATTACTGTGGGTAAATCTGTCACAAGTATTTCGTATACTAATCTCAGTCAGAATTACCTATACTACTGTGGGATTTAGAATGACAGTGTTTGCTGACTAAAGGACGAGTGTACTGCGCAGTGGTTCGCTCCGTTCTCCTATATGGCTGTGAAACGTGGCCAGTGAGAGTAGAAGATATTCGTACGTTACTGGTATTCGATCATAGGTGTCTTCGAAGCATTGCTCGCATATCCTGGGACACCCGAGTAAGCAACGCTGTTATTAGGAAGCAGGTGCTAGGTAAGAATGGCAGATCAATAGATGAAGTGCTGAAACTTGATCAGTTGAGGTGGTTGAGACATGTGTTACGTATGCCTAACCACCGAATGCATCGACGAGCTTTGTTTTGTGGTGTAGGAGTAGATTGGAAGAAAGCTAGGGAAGGCCAGACCAAAACATGGCACAAATCCATGAAGTCATTGACAAGTGGACTTAGCCATGTCGGTAGTTGTCGACTACCTGTTTGGAGTCCGCGAGATGATAATAATCGATGGTTAGAGACCCTGAATGACATGGCTCAAAATCGTTCGCAATGGCGCCAGTGCATTTATTCTTTGTGTTCTCTCAAATCCTAATCTTCTGGATTCTTGAACACCTCTAGTTTTGACTTTCTAATTTTTTCTCATTTAATCATACTTTTTGAATAATATCTTCTAATCCTAGCCTGTCGGATTACTTCTAATACCTTTACTACCTCTTCTACTATTGGATTTGAATTGACAATTGCATCTTTGTGTGCTAATGTAGTATGGCAACATGAACTGATGTACTTACGTACGAGGTTCTACGTTGCATCTGACTGACTGACTGGATTGACAGTGTTAGCGGGACATAGATGGATTAAAGCGTGACTGTGTTAGCTGCGTGCTGATTGGCTAAATCTAATCCGATCAGCGCTAGTGGATCACGTGGAGTACATTCCAGAAGCTTCTCATGTAAAAACTATAAAGATACCAACGCTGTTCCTATTTCGCCTTCGCTTCGGTTTCTTACTTCCATTTAATCTTGCTATTTGGAATATAATCTCTTTTCATTGTTCAACCGTGTTCTGATTTGGGGACTTGTCGAGTGTATTGTTGTCAGAGAATACTAAGCAATAGGAATAGCTGGGTTTACTAATAGAGATTTATGACAGACAGTTGCGTCTTTGTGCTAATGTGGTATGGCAAACTTGAACTGATGTACGTACGTACGTACGTACAAAGTTCTACGTTGTAACTGACTGACTAATTCAGTCCAAAACTCACCAGGTTTATATTCATTGGCTACACTCCAAGTGTTAAGACCAGTTTTACTGCCTCTGTTCGAACAGAATTAGGCAGTTCGCGGTTATAACCAGTGACTTATTAGATGTGTAGTAAACGAGAACACAGGTGTCGCAACCGGATTGTATTTAGCGAAAATTACAGAGTTACTCCGTAAAATCGGAAAACCATATCGTAAATCGTTAATTTGCAAAATATCAGTTCATCATATCGAACTGGACTGTTCCTGTTGCAAAACATCAATCCATTGTCACTATTCATGAGTTTCACACAAATTCCATTGTGTTCTAACTCTTCCTTTCTTGATCTTCCTCCATCTTCTGCTACCAGACATTACGTTTACACTCACGTCCTATACTACTTACAAGTAGCTCGCACCACAGATGCCTTAGCTTATTGTACCACTATTCCACTGACTTACAACTCAGTAGTGACTAATATTTTGTCTTTTTATCGACAATATTTGTATAATATCGATTATAATTTACAGTGTATTCATTGAAAATACTACTGTGGTCAGTGTTAAATATAAATATCTCAGTACTCAAGGAAGTCAGTCTCCGATTAAATTTATTTACTAATAACGTCCTTAAACACGATACCTTCTGACCATTAAATCTAAGTCGACAGAAAACATTCGTTCCCTCAAGATTATACCTATGACTTAGTGATGAAACTTGATTCCAAATGGTTCCTGCCTTCACTTATCTAATATAAACTTGTTCAGTCGGTGTCTGAACCATACATGAGTGGATAAAGCACAAAATTCAAAAGATTATAAAATAGGTTATAATTACTTCTACGGTAACTTATTTAGATCTGTTAACATGAATGATGAATCACTTATGAGCTTTTGGCCGTTGTTCTTTCATAATAGGCGGGATACAGAACAAAATGTGTTCACACTAGTGACTAGCTTCGTAAGGAAATTCTCGGTCTTTTAGTGAGAAGACATGACCAATGGAGTTCAACCCAGTTGTGTGTGTAGGCAGTAACTACCGAATACAATGGGTGAGGTTGCTCTTTAGATTGGTCAGAGTTAGAAATTAACGCCGTTGGATGCTGGTTCAGTGGTTAAGCACTCGTGCGCAAGACCGAAGGTCCTGGCCTCTAACCCTGAGAGTGCAAAGAGTCGTGGATGCTTACTGACACTGATGAGTCCTATACTAGACAGGACGAAAGAAACGGCTGTCTTTCAGTGCTTCCAGATTTCTAATGGTGGTCTAACATTGATTGATTGATTGATGATTTCAATGTGCAAAAAACTCATTGATTTATATGTTATACACAATGCGCATTGCGTGGTTTACCCAATTATTTGAATGATCATCAAATCACTATATTTGTACATTGCTTGAATTATGTACAAAGTTTTAAGCAGTTCTAAGCAAATCCATCTCTATAAGGATATGAATATGAAGCTGGTTGAATCATGTTTTATTATTATTATTTTTTACCCAATTCACTGTTTATCCTAAAGGGGGAAACACTGAATTAAAGTTAAGTGAATCAGGTGAAATTGATGTTAAGTCGTCTATTTATTTCATTAAGTTGTCTTCTTAAATTACTATCTTATTATAAATAATACATGTACTTTGGTTTGATATTCATTTTCAGTTAGTCAGTTACAATGTAGAACTTCGTACTTACGTACATCAGTTCAGGTTGCCATACCACATTAGCACACAGAGACGCAATTGTCAGTTCGAATCCCATAGTGGTAGAGATAGTAAAAGTATTAGCAGTAATGGAGAAGATTAGGGAGTGAAGATATGATTCAAGAAGTATAATTCATTGAGATAACTCTTCAGGAAGAGAAAGATAAACATGATGAGTAATTCAGAAGGTTAGAATTTGAGAGCACACAGTGAATGAATGCACCTGCGCTATTGCAAACGATTCTGAGCCATCGGTTACTTTCATCTCGCAGACCTCAACCAGGTAGCCTACATCTACCAACATGACTCAGTCCACTTGTCAGTGAGTTCATGGACTTGTGCCATGTTTTGGTTTGGCCGCCCCTAACTTTCTTCCAACTTACTCCTACACCACAAAACATAGCTCGTCCAGGCAGTCTGTAGATGGGTATTCGTAATACTTATCACAACTACCTCAACTGATGAAGTTTCATTACTTAGTGATTTCATGGAATTGTGCCATGTATTGGTCTAGTCACCGTTAAATTTCTTCCAACCAACTCTTACACGTCATTTATTTTAGCCAAATTGTTTTTTTTTTACAGTTTTTTACTGTTTTCTTCCTTTTTTTTGTGATAAACTGTCATTTAAGCAATTTTTTTTTCTATTTCATTTTATTCATAAAAGAGCATTATTTCCTCGTGGTCTCAATCTAGTTTGTATTATTGATGATCGTGGTGAAGTATGGGATTGGTCGCCTAATTTAATTCATGTTAAACCTTATCGGTAAGCTGCTACAAAGAAAAAATAATTTAACTTTACTAATATAAATTCAATTTTTTTCCAATTGTAATTAATACAAAATCTTTTCAGGTTTTCTATTTTTATGAAATAGTGCTGCACTAATATTGTGGTGCGCGCTACTTATAAGCAGTATATGACGTAATGTCTGACAGAAGAAGATGGGGGAAGATCAAGAAAGGAAGAGTGGGAACACAATGGAATTTGTATGAAACGCATGAATAAGTGAAATGTCAGACAATGGATTGATGATTGATTGAAGATTTGCAAATTAACCGTTTACGATATGGTTTTCCTATTTTACTGAGTAACTCTGTAATTTTCGTTCAACACAATTCGGTTGCCCTCACCTGTGTTCTCCCTCACTACAATATGAATTATGATTTTCAAATATTGTGGAATCAGTCTGTCTAGGAATGTTTAAATTATAATCAATGCAAAAGCTTAATTAATTCATAATATGCATTGATACAAACCTGGCGAAACACGAAAGTCATCATCTATAAGATATCTGCAATTTTCTACGGAAAATACTGAGGATCCATTGGTCAGACAACAGTAACAACAACCTTCTGTGGGAGAGAACAAACCAGATTCCAGTGGTGGAGGAGATCAGGAACTGGATAGGACACTACATAGGACAAAGTGGATGACCTTTTCAGCTCCATTTACGTGAACATCAATTAGCAGTCAAACACCAAGACTACGCTTCGCTTATATCTATACACACCGACAATTATGGACACACATTTGATTGGAACAATGTGGAAATACTAGGTAGGGGGAGGACAAAGAACACTAGAGAATTTTTAGAAGCTTGGCACTCAGGTCAGTCAGCAATCAACAAACACATCGACATTGACTCAATTTGTCAACCAATCAGAAAAATCATATGCAAACATAGGATCAAGAAACAGATCAAAAGGGGGGTGCAATCAAAACAAAGTTGCAAACAACGACAGGTCAAAAGGCAACAGCAACCAATCAAGATCGAGGTTAGCAGAACAAGCTACAGGTCAAACGAGGAGAAATTCGAATGCTTCACTTCTGTTATCTGAAGTTTGTGCTGCTGATGTTGTTCAGAAGAACAATGAAAGCTCCACAACCAAAACAACCAACTCAGAGAACGAAACACCACCACAACCATCCACCTGAGCTACAAGTTTTCTCCACCATCTCAAAGTGGATAGGACACACGTTGAGAAAAGCACTCAACTGCGTCACAAGACAAGCCTCTAGTTGAAATCTTCAAGGTTGAAGGAAAATAGGAAAGCCAAGGAACACATTACGCCGAGAATTGGAGACAGACATGAAAAGAATGAACAGCGATTAGATAGGATTGGGAAGGAAGGCCAAGGACAAAGTAGGTTGGCAATTGCTGGTCAGCAGTCTATTTTCAATTAGGGGTAACAGGCCTAAGTAAGCAATTCAGTAACGCATTGATACAATGTGACCGACTGATAATTCTTTATGAGACTATAAGATTAACATATGTTCCCTTTTAAATGAACAAGATTTTAGCAAGCGAAATAGCTATTCATAAGAACAGCAAAAAATCCAACATTATAAGATATCATAGGTAATTGAAGAAAATTCACATATGTTGGTCATTTATTCTCGAACTCATTTCAACTCTGTTTATGTTAAGCTTATTTCTCGCTTATTATTATCGTGACATGATTGTTATCTGTACAAATAACAAGCGTGTTTTTTTCCCTAGGTTGAAAGTACATATCTAATGATAGAGATACATGCTAGTCTGATGTGTTTAGTAAATATACGTCTAAACATGACTGGCCACTTAAAAATCGGGTTAATTCTGACCTCTACATAAACTGTAGATTTAGCCAATCAACGAATGAGCAAGCATAGACTGTATGTCATCATCCAATCACATAAAGTGTTAAAGGCCAAAACATTAAGCAAACCTCATTAATAACCAATAAAAAAATTGTCAGTTAGATCAGCGATCAAAATAACCAATCACAGACGAGAAAATTATTTCATTTATATAGAAATGGTTAAAACTAACCTATTTTAAAGATTTTCGAGGTTATTATTTACTCAAATGACATTGAAAGCTAGAATAATATAAAATCTAAAAAATCCTTTTGGCAAACTTCATATTGTTTATATTATAACCTTAGTTCGATTAAAACTTCAATGAATATCGTCCTTGAATGGTCTTGGATATAACTATTCGTCCTAAAAGCAGCCATTTAGTTGGTTGTTTGCGTAAAATGTCAAGTGACTTTAATTGTAGACAACACTAAGAACATTGTCAATGAAAAATCTATTTCAGTTTATCCATGAAGTATCTATTTGTCAGTATTATGCGACACGGTTGTTGCCTCAAACAAAAAACACTTATCAGTTTTTGTTTGTGAGCATATCGGAAGTTAAAATTTCATCAGTTAAGGATTTTTACCCATTCAGTGACAGGTAAAGCTGCGTTCATAGGTTGATTATAGTCACTTTTACTTAATAATACATCATATTCGTCTAGTTTCGGTTGATTTTTAAAAGAATATGAGATGGAATCAACAAATATTCCGGAAAATTTTTTTTATAAAAGGTTATACAAACCAGTAATTCATGTTAGGTTTTATTTGCTATATCGATGAAACTGTGATTCATGGATGACGTTTTGAGCAATTCCAAAGTGACCTTGAAGATATTTACTTACTTACTAGGGTTCAAAGAGCGTTAAAAATTAGAGTTTGGGGTTTTTCATCACAAACTAACATCAACCATAATGCCAACATGTTATCAAACCATATGGATGCATAGATTTCGCGCCGAAATTCAGGACTTGTTAGCTCAAATATGATTGGTTCGTTCCCTGAATTATAGTCTTGCCCATATTTCATAGAAAATCGTCCGTAACAAATGTAATAAGTTATGTAAAGTTATGTAAAGCTACTTATACTTATGAGCACACATATATTGGTTCATTATGCAAAGTCAGCGATTCATTTAAGGACGATAGGTTTTAACCTAATCATTCTAGTTGTTCATAACCTATTCCAAAGTTTGAATACTTACTTACTTACTTACGTCTGTTACCCCCAGTGGAGCCTAGGCCGCCAACCATTGTTCTCCAGCCTACTCTGTCCTGGGACTCCTTTACCAGTTCTGTCCAATTTTTGTTCATTTTTCTCATGTCTGTCTTCATTTCTCGGGAAGCGATGTTGTCTGATGTATGGGTACTTACCAACTTACTTACTTACGCCTGTTACCCTCCAATGGCGCCTAGGCCGCCGACCAGTATTCTGTCCTGAAACATTGAATGCATTCTCTTAAAAATTATATCCGTGATACTCTGTGTTATTTACTTTAAACTTAAATAATTTCGATTATTTCACCGAAGACAGTGGATGAGGTTTTGTAAGACAGTGGATTGATCAAAGGTCCCGGGTTCGATTCCTGTTAGCAGCGGTTGTGAATGTGCACTGCTGATGTATCCATACTAGGGCAAAACGGCTGTCTTTCAGTGCTTCAAAAGTTTCTACTGATGGTCTAACAATGATTGATTGATGGTTTCAATATTTAAAAACCTTATAATGAGAAATTATTAAACATGGTGAAATAGTTTCAGTTTATCAACAAATTAGAAAACAACTCTTCAGCAACAACAACAACAAGGCTAACAATTGGGTCAAGGTCGAAGGAAAATATGTATATAATAATGACAGAACAAGTGAACAGAATCCACGTGAAAAAACAGCACTTTCTTTTCGATCAAATCATTTACTTAATTTTTGTACATGCGTATTTTTATTTGTTTGATAAAAATATATGCGTTTGTAGAAGAACACACAGACTGATTGATTACCTCACACAATGATTCTTGATTTCAAGTATTCAAAAAATGGTTGGGTAATGATGATCAAGAGGACTAGAGAAGTGTGTTTACAAGTGTTTTTACAACAACTATTCGTATTTTATTATGACCCGACCGTAGCTGCTACCTTGACGTGGTGGTCGGGCTTGCCTATCGTCATGACCCAACCAAGCTATACTGGCTGGAACATATGTTCCTGCAGGAACGATGAGACTAAAAGCAGCTACTCAAGGTCTGAGGGCGAAGTCGTACTGCTGACTGACTGCAGAGGGGTGTGACAGCAGTAAGGTGTTTCCCTCGGATGACCAGCATCTGCAGCGATGCTGCCTTCTCACAAGGAAGGAAGGGTTAGAAAAGGTCGACCCTAAAAATGTCGCTTCTCATCCTACCTCACGGATTTCCGTCTCTGGCGGTAAGGGTGCCCACTAAGGGCCTTTAAGAACGGAGCTAATCCTCTAAATACCTTTCATCAAAAGGCCGTGCGTGACCGGCCTCAAGCAGTTGTTCCTTGGACTCTGCGGTCACGCACCCAGGTCTCTAAGATCAACACTAATCTACCTTCCTTTTCAGGTCCCTCGAGAAACAACCTTCCACAGTGTGGGCAGCCGGAAAGTGATAACCGCCCTCATACCCATAACAGCACGAGAGACCAAATTGGTCGAAATCAAATCAAATCCTTTAATTATGAGTTCGTTCCACCGAAATGACATCAACAATCAATCTTAGCATTTCCAGTTTGTAAATGTGTTGTATGTTTCCTGAAAAAAACTCTAATCCAAGTTAAATGTTCTAATGACTTTTTAAGTGGTTCTCTCATTCAGGTCAATTATCGATCAGTGTTATTTTTTATCAGGATTTCAGTTCACTTTTTATTTTTGGTCATTCGATTTCAGCCCTTTTTTCTCTTATTCTAGAAGAAACTTATGTCATTTGTTCAAAAATTGCCAACAAACATTTTCATTTGAAATCATCAATCAATCATTGTTAGACCACCATTAGAAACTTGGAAGCACTGAAACACGGCCGTTTCGTCCTGGTATGGGACTACTCATCAGTGGCAGTGCGCATCCACAACTCCTGCTGCTCGGAGGATTCGAACCCGGGACCTTCGGTATTGTGCGCTAACGCCTAACCGTCTGACCCCTGGGTCGGCATCCAACGGTGTTAATGTCTAACTCTGATTGGTCTAGTGATTTGGTGCGACCTCACCCATTTGCCTTTGGTAGTTACTGTCTACACGCGACAGGGTTGAACTCCATTGGTCACATCTTCTCAACTAGAACTCCGAGAATTTCCTCACGAAGCTAGTCACTAGTGAGCACTGTTACGATATTTTGGGGCAGAGTTTTGGAGGTTTTGTGTTTTTTACACATTTTTAAATCATCAATGAGTCCCATACCAGGACGAAACGGCCGTGTTTCAGTGCTTCCAGGTTTCTAATGGTGGTCTAGTAACAATGATTGATTGATGATTTCAAATGTGTAAAAACACAAACTTCCAAAAACTCTGCCCCAAAACATTTTCATATCACTGAGAGACTTTTGACAATGCAGTGAACTTCACTAGCATTAGCTTTTGTTAATCTCTGCTCTTGTTCAGCTGATATTGACTGTTCTCTTCTTGTCCTTCCTTTCTTGACTCTCATCCAGTGTGTATCGACTGAGATCCATTCCTTGTGATAGTGCTTCTTGTAGCCCATAATCTCATGAAATTCTGAAGTTATTGATTCATTGATCCTTTTCCAGTCGTTCTCTATGGTAGTTTGCTCTTCATTGTGTAGATTGTGAGAGGCTTGGAACTAAGGGCTAAGGGCTTGTAGAAAGGCTCCATTAAACTTTTGTGATGTTGTCCGCCTCGTTATTTCCAGTGCTTCTTGAGTTTCAGTTTTATTTTGGCGAACTACACAGTGCTGATCTGAATTTATGTCAGCTTCTCTCTGTGTTACTTCGTCCACCATGATACTTGTGAATGTTTTGTTGATGTAGATGTGATCGACTTGGTTTCTGTTTAGTGTGCTCCAGTGAAACCCATGTCGATTTGTGGATGTATTTATTTACTACATATTATATATTCGATTTTGTAAGGTCATGAACTCACCAACTTTCTTTCTCTGAATCGCAATCATTAAGGGGGGGGATACATTTGAGTGTAAGTTTAACAGTGACTTATTTAGTCTCATGTGCTGTTATAGGTATGAGCGCGGATATCACTGCCCGGTTGCTCAAACCGTGGAAGGGTGTTTCTTGAGGAACCTGAAAAGAAGGTAGATCAATAATGTTGGTCTTAGAGATCTGGTAGCGTGACCACAGAGCCCAAGGGACAACTGCTTGAGTCCGGGACATTTTAACGTGTTAGCTCCACTCTTCATGAGCCCTATCGCCAGAGACGGGAATCCCTGGTGTAAGGTGAGGTGTGACATTTTTAGGGTCGACCTTTTGTAACCCCTTCCTTCCTTGTGAGAAGACAGCATCGACGCAAATGGTGGTTTTTCGAGGAAAAAAATCTTACTGTTGTCACACCTCTCTACAGTCAGCAGTACGACATCTATTAAATATTTCCAATCCTCCACTGCCTTAACGAGCTATGTTTTGTGGTGTAGGAATAGGTTGAAAGAAAGTCAGGGGTAGCCAAAACTAAAACATGGCATAAATCCATGAAGTCATTGACAAGTGGACTGAGTGATGTTGGTAAGTGTAGACTACTTGGTTGGGGTCCACAAGACAATAATAGCTGATGGTTAGAGACCTTAAACGACATGGCTGAAAATCGTTCATCAATTGAACGAATAACCCATTTAATTATGATTACTAGTATTATTCATAGAAGACTATCTACTGTATATTTTACTGTTATTTTCCTTTGCTTATTATCAGCTTCTTTCCAGATATTGGTGATATTAATGCTTTTCCATGGTCATTACAATCATCATCATCATCATCACCATCGCCGTTGTCATCAATGCCTACTTCATCATTATCATCTACAACAACAACAACAACACCTACAACAACTACTACTACTACCACTAGTATAAGTAGTATATCAACCACAACATCGACTGTCACAGAATCCTCCTCAGTATCTCAATCAAATTGTTCAGATGTCAATCTTATAGATAAATCTAATGAAAAATCCAATTCACAATTGAATTCAACTAATGAGAATCAAGAAACAATAGAAATGAATTCAACTAACAATGATGACAATACTACTGCTACTACTGCTGGTACACGTGACATTAGAACTAATGAAGAACCAATTGGTTGTACATTGGATATGTAAGATTGTTGCTGCTGTTGTCGTTGTTCTTATTGTAAATCAATAATTACATTTTAATTCTTATTCTAACTATGCTTTACATGAGATCTTACCAACCATGATCCTGACTTTGAGTATGAGTGTCTCTATCTCGGTGTTGTTATTATTATTTTTAAGATGATTCCCATGAAATCATGTATCAGTCATTGTTAGGCTAACATTAGAAATTTGGAAGCACTGGAAGATGGCCGTTTCATCCTAGTATGGGACTGATTCTTCAGCAATGTGCATCCATGGCGCGCGCTCGCGTGAATCGAACCCAGGACCTTCAGTTTAAAACTCTGTAATGAATAGCATATATAATATGCTTACTGGTGACTAGCTTTGTGAGGAAATTCTCAGAGTTCTAATGAGAAGCCTTGATCAGTGGAGTTCAGTCTTGTCGGTAGTGAAGCACTTACCTACAGAAGACAATCGGTGTCGCTACGCAATACCTTGGATTGATTAGGGTTAGACATTAGCACTGTTGGAAGCTGTCTCAGTGGTCTCTAGATGTCAAGCGTTTGCCTGCGATACTGTGAAGGTCCTAGGTTCGATCTAGGCGAGTGGGAATCGTAGATGCGCACTGCTGATGAGTGCAATACCAGGATGAAACAATTGTCCAGTGCTTTCAAGTTTCAATTAGATAATTTCCAACTGTGTATAAATTTCAGTAGACAATACAAAGTGTTGATTACTGTTGTTTTTAGTTTATCGTATAGCGCAAATCACAAAACCACAAACACATGAAACGAATTAGAAAAAAAATACGATCGAATATGGAAGAGAACACATGAATTTTGTGTTGGGGATTTCACGCTTGCGAGCATGGGCTGATCAGTTGACCTTGAGATTTCATTTCCCACCAGGAAAATCCATGCCTGTGATTGGCTGCTGTGTGCTATTTTCGTAACTGTCCCAAGGACGTTTCTATGATGTATAAATAAACGAGAGTTGTATGCTTGATTGTACTGTGTGATTGCTGGGTGTTTGTAGAATCTACTTTCTACGCTAACAAAGCCTTCTGTTTACAGCTTGGGATTCAAGGTAGCCTATCTGAATGCTGGTTCATTGTCTCGTTCTCGTTTATCGACTAAGGTGAACTTGCAATAGCTTCAAGCGTACGAACATAACATTTAGGATTTAAGAATCATAAATATCAATACCAGGGGAAGCATACAAGTCGTTGACTGATTAGTGTAGGTAACATTTGAAATAAGTATGTAGGCGGAAACACTTAGTCAAGTATATATGCTCATACAAGCATGATGATAATAATAGTAATAATAGTCGTACAAAATAGAGAAAAACATTATTACTAGCTGAATGACATTGTTTATAAAATAAGTTAATTGAAGAGTTTAACAAAATTAAACCTACACAAGTGAAGTACTTACTATATGTGTTCTTTGCTTGTATTAGCAAATTCACATGAACAGTAATCAGTTCTTAACACTTTAATAATGAAGATTGTATTAGAATGATAGGCTATCTTACTTATTGACGCCTGTTACTTCCAGTGGAGCATAGACCGTCGACTAGCGAATTATTTTTCTGTTTGGCGTTTTTTCTAGCGAATTATGGATTTCTACGAGATGGGGTCGCTAACCTCATATGCCCAACCCTTCTCCTTTATCCAGGCTAGGGACTGGCAGTAGTTACCCTAGAAGGGCTTCCAGGTGGAGTTCGTTTATTGTGCGCTTTAATCTTTTCTCCCTGCATTGCTGTTACTACTACGAATACTACACATATATGATATAATTTACTTAGCTTATTATGACTCACTCTCCACCCAATTTAAAACTCATCTCGGTTTTGAATAAATCGCAGTGTTAAAATCCACATCGAGACTCAAACGCCAAGTATGTTTTTTGTTAAATATCAACGTTTTATTTTCAACTGGACTATGATGTGCTGATAGTCAATCACTTATAACGTACAGTTGGCCATACCACATTAGCACACAGAGATCGAATGATCAATTCAAATCTGATAGTAGTAGAGGTAAGAGAAGTAAATAGCATTAATCAGAGAGATTGGGGTTTGAAGATACTATTCAAGAAGGATATACCGAAGAAAGATAAATGTGATGAGGAATTCAGAAGAACCTGGATTTCGGAGAACACAAAGAATGGATGCATCTGTGCTATCGCAAACGATTATGAGCTATGTTACATTCAAAGTCTCCGGTCATCGATTACTATCGTCTGGCGGAGACCAACCAGGTAGGTAGTCTACACCTACCATGTGCTAATGACTACTACTGTAGTGAGGGAGAACACAGGTGAGGCTACCGAAATGTATTTAGCGAAAATTACAGAGTTACTCAGTAAAATCGGAAAACCATATCGTTTGCAAAATATCAGTTCATCGTATCGAACTGGATTGTTCCTGTTGCAAAACATCAATCCATTGTCACTATTCATGCGTTTCATACAAATTCCAAATTGTGTTCTAACTCTTCCTTTCTTGATGTTCCCCCATCTTCTGCTGCCACACATTACGTTGACGCTCACGTTATATACTACTTATAAGTAGCTCACACCACACTACTACTACTACTACTACTACTGCTTATTTGTACAACACGTATAAATTTTACGTAAAAAGCATTCCTATTGTTAATTTTCAGAATCAACACTGTTGCTTTATTCTTGATCAATTCTCTTATCTTTCTTTCCATTTAGAACTAATATTACTACTGTAAATAATAATCCTGTGGAAATTTGTCAACTGCCATCAACTCAAGCAAACATGACAATCGATCTATCTGATCAACCCACTGCTAATATTTGCGACTCTACTGACAATACTACTACTAACACTACTACTAACAATAATTCTACTACTATCGCTACCATTATTACTGATAATGAAGTTCAATTTACTTCTACTGAAGAAGAGATTAACAATGATAATGATAATAATACTAATACTAATGATTTATCATCTAAAATCAAAGAGATCGAATTAGAAATGGATGCTGAAGATGAAGATTATTTATTACGTTTACAAGAGATTCTATTAAGAATTCATAGAAATTATTTTAAAACTTATGATTTATGGCAAGCACATCATCAACAACAACGTCAAACAACAACAACAACACTGATGACAAAATCTCAAGAGAATAAACATAGGTAGGTAGATAAGAAGAAACAGAGTTTTATTTAATCTTTTTAATTGAACATTGAATAAATTGTTAGGCATAAAAAAGGTAGTTGATGTATTGGTCATTGGTTTTAGTCAGTTTGTCATCAACAAAGGTAGATTTTCGTACGTAAGTACGTATGTCAGTCAGATGCAACGTAGAACTTCGTACGTAAGTACATCATCAGTTCATGTTGCCATACCACATCAGCACAGAGATATAATTGTCAATTCAAATCCAATAGTAGTAGAGGTAGTAAAGGTATTAGAAGTAATCGGAGAGGTTAGGATTAGAAGATATTCAAGAAGTATGATTCAGTGAGATTAGTTTAGAAAGACAAAACTAGAGGTGTTGAAGAATCCAAAAGATTACGATTTGAGAGAACACAAAGAATAAATGCCCTGGCGCCATTGCGAACGATTTTGAGCCATGTCATTCAAGGTATCTAAGCATCGATTATTATCATCTCGCGGACCCCAACCAGGTAGTCGACAATTACCGACATGGCTAAGTCCACTTGTCAATGACTTCATGGATTTCTGCCATGTTTTGGTCTGGCCGCCCCTAGCTTTCTTCCAATCTACTCCTACACTACACTACCACAATAACACACATAGATGCAATTGTCAATTCGAATCCTATAGTTAAATAAGAGGTGTAGGAAAGGATTTGATTGTGACCAATTTGGTCTCGTGTGCTTTCGTGGGTATGAGGGCGGATGTTACTTCCCATCTGCTCAAACTGTGGAAGAGTTCTGGTTGTCAATAGGGGCCATCAGTCTCATGACTTCTGAAGGAACTCGGGTTTCATCATGAAATGTCATAACTCTTCTAAATAAAGACATTCTAATTCCCAGAATAGAGTTTATATGGTTTGAATTGTTTTTTACTTGTTAGCATTTTTTCGCAAGTTAGTTTTTTGCGGGATTGGGTCATCAACCCCAACCGGTAGTAGCCCGGAGGGATCTACAGGCGGACTTGAATCCCATAGTAGTAGGGGGTAGTAGACGTATTGAAGGTAATGAAGAGGAAGAGGGTTCGAAGATATTATTCGAGAAGTATAATTCACTGAAATAAATTTAGAAAGATAAACATAGAGGTGATGAGGATTATATTTTGGACGAACATAAAAAGTGAATGCATCTACAAACGATTTTGAGTCACATCGGTTACTATCGTCTCATGGTCTCCAACCAGGTAGTCTACACCTTACCAGCATGACTCAATCAAGTTGTCAGTAACATATTTTTATTTGGCCGCCCCTTAGTTTCCTCGAACCTACACCTACCCCACAAAACATAGCTCGACAACGCACATTCGATACACGTGAAAAGATTTGTCTTTTTAATGACCCCTTTGTCGCCTTAGTATAGAAGAATTCTCAGTTCGCATATGGACTGGACAGACTGTGGGGAGATTTCGGTCAGGATCAAAAACTAAATTATGTTACTGTTCCAATAGGATTCGAATGAATATTCAATTCATGACTTCAACTATGAGAATAATACGATTCTCTTCAATAATCACAAATATATGCTCATTAATAACTACCTGCAGTATGGATTTCAAGAGTTCTAATGAAACCGGTGAATTTCCATCTGTGTCTTGTAGGAGACAGTTATTCACTGCAAACAATGAATAAGGGTCTCTCACGATCATCTATCGATTGAAGTTAGACATTAACATTGCTGGACGCCGACTCATTGGTCATGGGGGTTAAGGATTCGCGCGCGAAACCGAAAGTCTTTTGTTCGATTCCTGTGTCCGTTGTCTTGGATATATACTGTTAAAGAATACCATACCAGGAAAAAAAGAGCTTTCCATCCCTTCTAGGTTTTTAATAGTTGGTCTAGCTTAGATTAGTCCGTAATTTCAACTATGAATATAGTGCGATCTCCGCAAATTCACTCTGTGGTGTGTGCTACTTATACGAACGATATAAGTAGTATAAGAATGGACGTGAAAGAAGAAGTCTTACGGTCAGAAGAGGAAAACGGAAAGCAAATAGAGCAAAAGCAAGAAAGAAATAGAGCACCGACAGGAAGTAAAGGAAGCAACAGCAGGAATGGAAGAAGGCTGGAGCGTTGGAAGTCAGGACTCAAAGATGGTGTGCAAATGTAGTGTTCAATGTAATGTTATCGTTTTTAATTGACTAAGAGTGTAAATTTGCCAAATACAATCTATTGAGCCTGCCTCAGTCTTCTCAACTCTTATTATTTTATAGAGCAGATGTTTTTATATTTTTTTTCTTGTCAATTCACATATTCTACACACTTACTTGTATTTTATTTACCTATCTATTTGACCTTTCTTCAATCGTTAACTAGCGATCATTCAATAAACCATTCATCTACTACAATGAATAATATATCCCGTAAAAATCTCTTCTCCTCAACAAACTCATCTGGCGCCGCCGTAGATACACTGTCCACATATTTACCGCATGTATCTGATATTATAGCTAAATTACGCAAAACTGTACTTGGTCCCAGTTGTCATATTACATTGTCTGGTTTATCACCTGCACATTTTCCTGCTGATCAATGTTTAGCTGGTCGAATTGTACGCAGTTTAGGTGGTATATTACATGCCAGTTTAAGATTACCTTCTATTTGTGATCAGTCAAATGGGAATGCTGATAATAACAATTTGGATAATGATACTACTACTACTACTAACAACAATAATATGAGTAGTAATAGTAGTACACCTCTGTCAATTAACAGTCTCGATGCAAAATCACAGTGAGTTCTCTCTTTTTTCTCTGTGTGTCTGTTTTCAATTTTCAATGGAACAACCGTTTTTTTTTCTCATATTTCAGTCACCACCCTATCAGCGCTCATGAGACTCCCAAGATAAGTGAAGCGGTCTACACGTTCGACCACTTCACTCCCTATCACTAGTTCAGGTGCCGATGCAACCCAGTCTTGAAGCAACATTTTGCATTTCGAGGGTGAGAACCGCATCCCGAACATGCTTGCATTGTTGCTTAGGGTAGTCAGAAGACTCTGCATTTTGTCATATTTGAATTATTTAAAAGTACTGTTGAATAGCATGTTTCTTTGTGATTCACAGAAAATGTACTACTGAAATTGTATTGTATTGTATTGATAGATTTAGTTCTGTAAAGGTTTGTACACATGATGAGTCAAAATAATGGACCATCCATTCAGTTGTAGGTTGACGCTTTATATATATGTATGTATGTATCTATCTACATATATGTCATTCCCACTGTTATGTAACATTTTAGCTGACCATCTTTACAACTGGCCCATCACTGGGTGACCGTTGCCATATTATATTTGTTCCTTAGCGCCGATCAAATTCTATCGATCAAGTTGCCATGTGATTCGATGTCATGTGCACTACTATCTTAAGATGTAAGGTGATCGTTGAAGGTGGTAGTCGACAGGAAACCTTAGACCTAGGTTTCACGCTATTTGGCACTTGTCAGCAAAGTGTATATGTAATCTTGAGGTAATTAATGCTGTCCTAGACGGATTCGACCCTATGTCACTCAGATTCATAGTCAGAAACGTTACCACTGAACTGGCCGGACCGCACTAGACGTACACTTTGCTGATGAGTGCCAAGTAGCAGATTTTCCTGTTGACTGACTACTTCCAACCATTATCTTATATTTTACCACTGCTTATCCCAATGCGTAATGTTGATTGAAGCAGGAGTAGTACGGATAAACAGAGATGTGAAATTTATTCACAAAGTTATTGACTGTTGATCTAGGCCATGTTTGTCGATTCATTCAGAATACTCTGTTGGGGTTCATACGATAACCGCAATTGGTGGTTGGAGATATGGGGTCGTAGTAGCACGGATGTGTTTTACTCCTTATCTTATATTAGATTTTGAGTTTCACCATTCATTCATGCTATTACAGGGCAGGACAGTGATATTCAGTGACTGACTGGCCGACTGACTGGTACGAGGCAAGACAGCAAAGATAACTCTAACTTGACTATTTTAAGAATGCACTACAACTCTCTTCTTTTCGTCATATGAACTAGTGATAGGGAGAGAAGTAGTTGAGCGTATTGACTGCTTCACTTATCTGGGGAGTCTCATCAGTGCCAATTGTATGGTATATAACGAAATCTCAGCAGGGATACAGAAGTATCGACTGGCTTTTACCAGTCTGCTAACCAAATGACGAGTTTACTGCGCAGCAGTTCACACCGTTTTACTATACACAGGTGTAGATTGTGGTCAGTAAGAGCGAAGGATATTTGTCGGTGACTGATATTCAATCATAAGTGTCTTCAAAGCATTGCTCATTTATTCTGGGACAATCGAGTAAGCAATGCTGTTGTTAGGAAAAGGTTAGATAAGGTAAAGATATAAAATTGATTAATGAAGTAGTGAATTAGACTTCGTAGACGCCCAACTTCGAGATCAACAGGCCGGATTTCGTAAGGATCGATCGTGTACTGACCAAATTGCTACATTACGGATCATTGTGGAACAATCAATTGAATGGAACTCACCACTCTACATCAACTTCATCGACTACGAGAAGGCATTTGATAGCGTGGATAGGAAAACACTATGGAGGCTTCTTCGATACTACGGCGTGCCTGAGAAAATAGTCAACATCATACGGAATTCTTATGATGGATTCAACTGCAAAATCGTGCACGGAGGTCAGCTGACAAACTCGTTTGAGGTGAAGACCGGTGTCAGGCAAGGTTGTTTACTCTCACCCTTTCTCTTTCTCCTGGTCATCGACTGGATTATGAAGACGTCAACATCTGGAGGGAAGCACGGTATCAACTGGACAGTTAGGACGCAGCTGGACGATCTGGACTTCGCAGATGACCTGGCTCTTCTATCGCACACTCAACAACAAATGCAAGAGAAGACGACCAGTGTAGCAGCAGCCTCTGCAGCAGTAGGTCTCAACATACATAAAGGTAAAAGCGAAATTCTCCGATGCAACACAACATGCACCAACCAAATCACTCTTGACGGACACGCCTTGGAGGACGTTAACACCTTTACATATCTGGGCAGCATCATCGACGAGAAAGGTGGATCCGATGCAGATATGAAGGTGCGAAATGGCGAAGCAAGGGCTGCATTTCTACAGTTGAAAAATATCTGGAACTCCAAACAACTTTCAAACAAAAGCAAAATCATGATTTTCAATACAAATGTGAAGATAGTTTTACTGTATGGAGCGGAAACATGGAGAACTATCAAAGCCATCATCCACAAGATACAAGTGTTTATTAACAGTTGTCTACGTAAAATACTTCGTATTCGTTGGCCAGACACCATCAGCAACAACGAACTGTGGGAGAGAACAAACCAGATTCCAGTGGATGAGGAAATCAGGAAGAAGTGGTGTAAGTGGATAGGACACACACTGAGAAAAGCACCTAACTGCGTCACGAGGCAAGCCCTCACATGGAACCCTGAAGGCAAAAGGAAAAGAGGAAGGCCAAGGAACACACTACACCGAGAAATAGAGAAAGATATGAGAGGAATGAACAAACATTGGACAGAATTGGAGAGGGAAGCCCAGGACAGAGTTGGTTGGAGAAAACTGGTGAGCGGCCTATGCTCCATTGGGGGTAACAGGCTTAAGTAAGTAAGTAAGTAATCACTTGAAGAAGCCTTATACACTTACAAAACAGCAGTACACAGTTTACAGTGTTTTAACGTTTTTATAGATCGAAATCATGAATGAATCATTGTTAGAACATCAATAGAAACCTGGAAGCACTAAAAGACGGCCGTTTCGTCATGGTATGGGACTCATCAGTGGCATTGTGCATCCACGACTCCCGCTACTCTCAGGATTCTAATCCAGAGCCTTACGCTTTGCGTGCGAACGCTTAACCTCTACTCCGCTGGACCGACGTCCAGCGGCGGTAATGTCTAACTCTGATCGATCTAAGGATTTTGCGCGACTTCACTCAGCTTGGTCTTCAGTAGTTACTGCCTGCCGTTGACAGGGTTGAACTCCACTGGTCAAGTCTTCTCACTAGAACTACAAGAATTTCCTAATAAAGCCAGTCATTAGTGTGCACAGTGTGCCAGTTTTTTCACTTAGTGTTATGGTTATCTCCATAACTTTCATTGAAGAAAATAAAGAAAGAAATATCGATATAACTCACTTACCACACACACACACACAAATACCACAGATTACTTGAATGAAAACTCATGTTTTATAATATTCATTTGCTAAAATCACCATTTTATACGTATTGTTAGTAGGACATAGATTGGATTAAAACATGGTTGCGTTGTTCCTGACTGAAGCTGCTACCTTGACGTGGTGGTCGGGCTTGCCTATCGTGATGACCCAACCGAGCTATGTTGGCAGGAACATATGTTCCTGAAGGTTCTACCATGCTAGGCAGGTCGATTGGAGAACGATCAGACTAAAAGCAGCTACTCAAGGTTACTATTCTTCGGTCATTGGTGTCTCCGAAGCATTGCTCGTGTATCCTGGAACAACCGTATGAGCGATGATGTCGTTAGTAGTCCTAGGTAGGGATGGCAAATCAGTAGATGAAGTAGTGAAACTTCATCAGTTGAGGCGGTAGGGACATGTGTTACGTATGGCTAACCACCGACTGCCGCGACGAACTATGTTTCGCGGTGTAGGAGTAGGTTGGGAGAAAGTTAGGGGCGCCAAAACCAAAACATGGCAGAAATCCATGAAGTCACTGACGGGTGGACTGAGTCATGTTGGTAAACGCAGGCTATGTGGTTGGGGTTCGAGAGACGAAAGTAACCGATGAATGACATGGCTCAGCATCGCTTGCGATGGCGCAGGTGCATCCACTCTTTGTGTTCGCTCTAATTCTAACCTTCTGCATTCCTCATAATCTCTATCGTTCTCCTTCTAAATTTTTCTCACTGAATTATACTTTTCGAATCGTATCTATGCTCCCTAATCTTCTCCATTACTGCTAATACTTCTACTGTTGCCATCACTGTTGGATTTGAACTGACAGTTGCGTCTCTGTGCTGGTGTGGTACGGCAACCTGAACTGATGTACTTACGTACGAAGTTCTGTGTTGTATCTATCTGTCTGTCTATCTGACTGCGTTGTTGCACGCCGATTGGCTCCTTCGTATCCAATCAGCGCAAGCGGATACCGAGGGAGCATTCTAGAATCTTCTCATGTAACAAAACTATAAATATACTAACGTGTCTTTTACTTTTGGACCAACTGACTTCCATCTAACCGTGTTGTGATTGGAATATAATCTGTATTTCCTGTTCAATTGTGTTCTGAATTTCGGAAGAATGTCTCCAGTCAGTCAGTCAGTCAGTTGCAACGTAGAACTTCGTACGTAAATACATCAGTTCATGTCGCCATACCGCATCAGCACAGAGATATAACTGTCAATTCAAATTCAATAGTAGAAGAGGTAGTGAAGGTATTAGAAGTAATCGGAGAGGTTAGAATTAGAAGATATTATTCAAGAAGTATGATTAAATGAGATTAGCTTAGAAAGTAAAAACTAGAGTTGTTGAAGAATCCAGAAGATTAGGATTTGAGAGAACACAAAGAATAAATGCACTGGCGCCATTGCGAACGATTTTGAGCCATGTCATTGAAGGTCTCTAACCATCGATTATTATCATCTCGCGGACCCCAACCAGGTAGTCGACAATTACCGACATGGCTAAGTCCATTTGTCAATGATTTCATGGATTTGTGCCGTGTTTTGGTTTGGCCGGTCCTAACTTTCTTGCAGCCTATTCCCACACTACAAAACAAAGCTCGTCGAGGCAGTCGGTGGTTAGGCATACGCAACACGTGTCCCAACCACCTCAACTGATGAAGTGTCACTACTGCGTCTATTGATCTGCCATTCTTACCTAACACCCGTTTCCTGATAACAGCGTTGCTCACTCGGGTGTCCCAGGATATACGAACAATGCTTCGAAGACACCTATGATCGAATACCAGTAACCTACGAATATCTTCTACTCTCACTGGCCATGTTTCACAGTCATAAAGTAAGACGGAGCGAACTACTGCACAGTACACTCGTCCTTTAGTCAGCAAACGGATATCTCGCCTACGCCTTAAGTGACGCAGGTTTGCGAAAGCCAATCGAGCCTTCTGTATCCGTGCTGAGATTTCGTCAGTCACCAGACCATCGGCACTGATGAGACTCCCAAGATAAGTGAAGCGGTCTACACGTTCGACTACTTCACTCAGTGAATAGGTGTTCGAGAATACTAAGCATTAAGGAATAGTTGGGTTGTCATAAATTACCTACATATCCTGCATCATTTCAAACCTGAAGAATATTCATTTTGTTCCTAATAATAATTAGAAATATTTCTAATGAAGTTTAATTTTTGTTTCTATTTTCAATATAAACTCATTTTCAGTTCACATCCTCTTCCTGCTGCTACTAGTACTACTACTACTCATCATCATCATCATCATCATTATACAACACATTTAATTGCTTGTCGTCGAGGTACCGAAAAAGTACATGCTGCATTAAACTATCTCAAATTGAATAATAATAATAGCAGTAGCAGCAATAATAATCATAATTTGCCTTCACATTCATCACTTCATCTTATTTCACCAAAATGGTTATGGTCATGTCATTATCATTGGAATCATGTGAATGAATCAAATTATCCATTAAATCAAGATTATCATCCAAGTGATTTTGATCCAGCTATTGAACCAATTCCTGGTACTATACGATATGCTAGACGTATGCGTCGACATTATCAACATCATCCGGATCAACAACAACAACAACAACAACATTCTTCTCATAATAAGAATGATGATCATCGTTCACGTCACCATCATCGTCATGGTCATCGCCATCGTCATCATGAACATCGTGCACATCATCGCCATCATCATCAGCATCATCATACTCATACTCACCATACTCATAAACATCATCATCAATCCATAGTATTGCCTAATATTAATGATGATATGTAAGTTATTGAATTGTACATATATATTTATATATATATATATACGTTTAAAAATGAGTTTGAAATAGGGAATTTTTCTAAAAATTAAAAACTTTAATCCTAATATCTACTTTTGCACTACAACGTAGCACCTCCTACGTACGTACATCAATACATCAAGTTACCTTAACACATTAGCACACAAAGACGCAATTGTCAATTCAAATCCTACAGTAGTAATTGGAGAGATTTTAGGTTCGAAGATACTACTATTCAAGAATTATAATCTAGTGAAATTGATTTTTTCAGTTAGTGTTTTATTAGTGAGTTAGTTTTCTACGGGACGGAATCGCCAACCCCACATCCAACTCTCCTCCTTTTATCCGGATCTGGGACCGACAGTGGCCCCAGTTGGGCACCGGGCGGAGTTAACAGTATATCCAACACAATACGCGCCAACCAAGCCACATGTGATGGAGAGATGCCTTGGAGGACTTAAAAACATTTACTTATCTGGGTAGCATCATCGACGAGCAAGGTGTGGAGGCGCGGATCTGCAAAGCAAGGACTACATTTCCACAATTGAAGAACGTTTCCTACTCCAAAAAAAACTATCAACAAACACCAAACTCGCAACTTTCAATACAAATGTTATGACAGTTCTACTGTATGTGGCGGAAACTTGGAGAACTGTAAAAGTCATCATCCAAAAGATACAAGTATATATGAGCAGTTGTCTACGCAAAATTCTTCGGATCCGTTGTCCAGACAATATCAGCAACAACCTACTGTAGGAGAGAGCAAAACAGTTTCTTATGGAGGAAGAATTGATGGAAGTGGATAGGACACACATTGAGGAAAGTAGCCATCTGTGTCACAAGACAAGCCCCCCCCCCACTTGGAACTCTCAAGGTCACAGGAAAAGAAGCAGACCAGAAAACACATTACCCCGAGAAATGGAGACAGACATGAGGAGAATGAATAACAATTGGACGGAGCTGGAAAGGAAGGCGGAGGGAGGACAGAGTAAGTTGTAGAATGCTGGTGGGCGGCCTATGCTCGATTGGGGCTAACAGACGTAAGTAAGTAAGAAATAATTTAGTGAAATAAACTTAAGCAGAGAAAGATAAAAATGATGAGGAATTCAGGAGATTAAGATTTAAAAAAACATGGATGCACCTGTGCCATTGCAAACGATTTTCAGGCATGCCATTCAAGGCCTCTAACCATCGGTTACTATTGTCTGGTGGACCCCGACCAGGTAGTCTACGCTTGTCAGTGACTTCATGGATTACGCGATATTTCAACAAGTTTCCATTACATAACCACTGGAACGATGGTGAAGAAAATTTTTAGCTCAAGTGGATGATTTTGGTGGAGAATTAATTAAGCATAGCTTACTTTAGCAGTAAAGATTTTTTCTCAACACAGAAACATTGATACAAAATGACATGTAAATTATTTATGCGCTACATAAATTATTGAATTTATGAGTATTGGTTTTCTTAGGAAATCACACCCTGAGCCATTATTAACCTTAAGATCTAATCCGTAAGACAGTGAAGAAAAGTTAACAGATGCAGTCCGATAGTAGTCATTGACGGATATATAACATGTTCATACGCAACTCGTTCTATCAGAATTATGGAATCTATGTGGATGGTTAGTTTGTAATTATGGTGTCTTGGAAGCATTGGTCGTCGTATATCATGGAACAACCGGGTAAACAATGCTGTTGTTAGGTAAAAGGTTTTAGGTAAGAATGGCAGATTAATAGATGAAGTAGTGAAACTACATCAGTTGAGGTGGTTGGGGCATGTATTACGAATGCCAGACTGCCTCAGCAAGCGATGGTGCCTGGTGTATGGGTAGGCTGGAAGAAAGGAAGTAGTGGCCAGACCAAAACATGGCACATATCCATGAAGTCACTGACAACTGGATTGAGTCATGTTGGTAAATGGAGACTACCTAGTTGGGGTTCGCGAGATGATAATAATCTATGGTTAGAGACCCTGAGTGACATTGCTCAAAACCGTTTGCGATGGCGCAGATATATATTCGTCACTTGCTACGCTTGAAGCTATTACGAGTTCACCTTAGTCGATAAACGCGAACGAGACAATGAACCAGCGTCCAGATAGGTTATCTTGAATCCCAAGCTGTAAACAGAAGGCTTTGTAAGCCTAGAAAGTTTATTCTACAAACACCAGGCAATCACAATACCATCAAGCACACAATTCTCGTTTATTTATGCATCATAGAAACGTCCTTGAGACAGTCACAAAAATAGCACACTAAAATACACAGCAGCCAATCACACAGCCATGGATTTTCCTGGTTTAGAAATGAAATCTCAAGGTCAACTGATCAGCCCATGCTCGCAAACGTGAAATCCAAACTAAGGCATTTATCAAGCGAGTTCTGGGGATCTAAAATCCCCAACACGCAGGTGCATTCATTCTTTGTCTCCTCTCAAATTCCAATCATCTGACTTCCTCATCATCTTTATCTTTCTCGTGTTAAATTTATTTCACTGGATTATACCTCATGGATCATATCTTCGAGCCCTACTCTTCTCAATCGCCATTATAACTCCTACTATATCTACCACTATGGGGTATGAATTGACATTTGGATCTCTTTGTGTACTAATGTACTATGGCAACTTGAATTGATTTACATACTTACGAAGTTGTGCGTTGTAGCTGACTGACTGTGACCGAATCTCATCCGAATAATCCTGTCTGTTTTAAGTACTTTAATAAAAAAAAATTATTGAGTTTTCTTTTTCCACAAAATATCCTAACATTGTTCTTTCTTGTTTCATGCAATTAGTGAACAGAAAATACCTCCGCTTGATCCAAGTGTAGTTCGTTCTGCTTTGGATTCCATTCGTACAGAACGAGAAAATGATCGTAAAAAGCGTAAATTGAAAAAAAGATCAAAAAATAAAAAATCTCACAAACGATCTCGTCATGATGCAGATGGTGATGGTGAACATGAGAAGAATATTTCATTGATTGATAATGGTAAGAAATTCATTTTATGATGTTGTGTACATATATAAAATTGTTTTGTTTTTTCATGAGGTGTTACGCCTACACGTAAACATGTCATTTAGATATGCTTGAACCGTTACGAATTTGCATTAGTCAGTAAATGAGAGTGAGGATCGAGGATCCGGTGACATGACATGCTACTCTAATCCGAACGTCCCAAACCCCCCTCCATTGAGTAAAAGAAGAAGACTTGATATGAAGTAGAATGTGTATTCTACAAGCATCCAGAAAGTATGAGGTCCGAGTCCAGAGGAGGATTAGGATCCCGGACTAGAGATCCGGGTCCTAAAACCTATTTTATACAGTTAGTTTGAATAGGAACCAACATTGAACTCTGTGACATTGATAGTTAGGACGACCATTATATTGACCGGTAGGAATCGACCGATAGAATTAGACTTCCAAAAATAATTCTCTTAGGGTATTGGATGAACATCCTAACATGAGGCTTATAAGGAGATTATTCAGTTTGAAATTGGCTAACATTAGGTTATGTTCTACAGTTCAGTTTATTTATGGCATTCACTTTCTGACAGAGAGGCAGATACAATGCAGATCTTTATAAGTTTAGAAAGACAAAAGTAGAGGTGATGAGGAATTCAGAAGGTTAGAATTAGGGAGAACACAAAGAGTGGATGCACTTACATCACTGCCAACGATTTCGAGCCACGTCGTTCAACGTCTCTAACTATTCATTACTGTCATCTCGCGGACTCTAACCAGGTAACCGACATCTACCAACATGACTCAGTCCACTTGTCAGTGAATTCATTGATTTCTACCATGTTTTGGTCTGGCCGCTCCTAGCTTTCTTCCAACCTACTCTTACACCACAAAAAATCACTCATCGAGGCAGTCAACAGTTGGGCATTCGTAACACATGTCCCAACCACCTCAAGTGATAAAGTTTCACTACTTCATCTACTGATTTGCCATTCCTATCTAGAACTCGTTTCCTAGGTAGGGATGACACCCACTTTCTATCATTGACTAGATCCAATAAGTCAATCGCAAGGTTGACATAAGAGTGGAAAGATTTAGTTCTCAGACTAAGTGATAATTTGTACACAAATCATGGATATTTATTCATTCATCCACTCTGAGTTAAATAACAATATGTAGGTTGCGGTCTTGACCGATTGTATAGTAATCGTCTTCTTCTGTTCTCGTTTGCATTTTCCTATCTATCTATCATTTTTGAAAAATGGTATGTAAGTTAGCTCTGCAGTGCGTCTACAATCACGTGATATAATATCCAGATTTACTCAGCCTATCGCATTACAGACTGATTTCACCTTGATAAACTGTCGAAATCAGTCTCTAGTTAGTGCTGGACAGTTATTTCATCCCACTTAGAGAGTTTCTCAACAATAGTTTTGTAAAAACTGTTCAAAGTTAAAGGCTAAACATTAGATTTTAAAAAAATGTAATTGCGGAGGAATGTTAAACAATCGGTAGCTCAATACAGGTGTATCCTATTAATTCGAATAAATAAATATACGCCACACAAATAACTGAATTTGCAAGTAGCCTGGACGCCCAAACTACAGCAAATGGTATTCTTAGGAAGCCCCACCCGGAGCTGTTAACCGAAAAATCTAATCCTCAAAGTAGTAAAGCAGTGTTGGCATACGCAGTCCGATGGTAGTCAGTGACCAATCATAAGTTCATACGTCACTCGTTCGATTAGGATCGTGGGGCTTATGTGCACCATTGGTTTGCAGTCAGAGTTCCCGAACTCCGACCATGGCAGTGCACTGGATACACTCACTTCTCATCTTCTCGATTTCGTAAACAACATAAACATAATGCGACAACTTGAACTGATGTACATATATCTCAAATTTGACATTGTTTACTGCCGGAACTTGTACTTTTATCATTCTTCTCATATATTTTTATCTGTTTCTACACCTAATTTAGTAACTACAAATGATCAAACTGAATTATTATCTGGAAATGAAAGTTCATCATCATCTCCATCATTGAAATCCGATTCTTCCATAGAATCCGATCATCATCAGCAACCGCCAAATAAACAACCAACTGAATCACCGTCATCATCATCATTATCACCATCCATGGATGATGATTATACAAGCCATGAAAATGTTAGTTCATCAGTTAATTCCAAATTAGCATGTTTATTCAATGAAACATTGTGTGATCATCACAAGGAAATTGATTGTTTTGATAGTGATACTACTACTACTAATAGTGAAAATTGTAATCTATGTAATTTTAATAAACTAATCAATAAAAATCCAATCAAGCCGCCTGATTCATGTGTTACTGAGATTAAAGATGAAGGTGATCAAGATTTTAATGAATATCCAGCAGTAGAAAATTTCATGGAATTCGACCACCACGAGCACGAGCACAACGACGACGGCGATGACGATAATCATAATAATAATGATGATGAAGCGGGAGGAGGAGGAGGAGAGAGAAAAGAAGTAAGAGAGGCCAGAGAAAATACAAGGCATTATGATGGAGACACTGAAAAAGATGATGATGATGATGATGCCGAAGAGGAGGAAGAGGATGAGGAGTATTCTGATTTGATCAATGAACAAACTGAAGCCGATATCGACGACGAGGAGGATGATGAAGAAGAAGTTCAAGTTCAGCTGAGTGACTATTTGCCGCCTCCAACAACTTTAGTGCTAGCTGATAATCCTTTGATGCATTTACCTCCAGATGTAAGTGTTGTATTTTATGAATTTTTTAAAAATAGTGTTCTACTTTTCTTTATTCCTACGGGAAGTCAGACCAAAACATGGTAGAAATCCATGAAGTCATTGACAACTGAACTGAGTCATATTGGTAGGTGTCGACTATTTGGTTGGGGTCCGTGAGATGTTAGTAATCGATGGTTAGAGATGCTGAATGCCATGGCTCAAAGCCGTTTGCAATGGCACAGGTGCATTCATTCATTGTGTTCTCTCATATCCTAACCTCTAAGTTCCTTATCATCTCTATCTTTCCCTTTGTGAAGTTATCTCACTGAATTATACCCTAATCTCTCCGATTACTGTTCGTACTTCTGCTACCTCTTCTACTATGGGATTTAAATTGACAGTTGCGTCTCTGTGCTAATGTGGTATGGCAAATGGAACTGAACGGCCAAACTGAAACATGTGGTTTTTTCTTAGAGAAGGCCATACCTCGAACTTTTGACACAAAAATCATTGTACATAGCAAAGATATGTAAAAGTTTGATAATCTGGTTGAAATCATAAACTAGTCTAAGCTAGACCACTATTAGAAGCCTGGAAGATCGTATCATCCTAGTATGCGATTCATCAGCAGTGCGTGTCCATAACAGCGCACGCGGAAATCGAACACAAGACCTTCGGTTTTGCCAGAGAACCCATAAACCCCAAGACCACTGGGTCGTCGGTATCCATTGGTGTTCATGTCTATCTTCAATCGATACATGGTGTTGCGCAAAGATTATCCACTGTCTGCAGTGGATAACTGTCTCCTACTGAACACAGATTGAAATTCACTGGTTTCATTGAGAACTCTTGGAATCCATATTGCAGGTAGTTATTAGTGAGCATATATTTGTGATTGTTGAAGAGAATTTTTCGGAAATAGTAATATTTTCATGGTTTTATTTACGAATTGATCTTAGCTAGATCACTATTTTGCCTTTTTTCCTTCCACAAACTACTCATTAAATAGGCAACTAGTAAAATGCTCGCTGAAATTGAAGATGCTGTTTTAGAAGAAGTAACTGAAAAAGCTACATCTGTTCCTCGAGAAGCTGAACTCTATGATCCAGCTGTAGATAGTTTCAATGATCTTTCATCAACTGACTCTTCGTCGGACAATCAAACTTCCATGATTGAATTAACTAAATTTCATAAATCACATATTTCCACAAATGAATTACCGAAAAATCCAATCGAATGTGATCGTAAAACATTAAATTGGCAGGTAATTAAGTGTTGTAATGCAAAAGTTAGTTTGTATTATTGGATAAATTTTTCCATACGCTTTATTTATGTGAATGGTTTGAATTATTTGTTCTGGTTAGCGTTTTTCTTGGCAAGTTAGTCTTTTGGTGGGATGGGGTCGCTAAACCCATACCCAACCTTCCTCCTTTATCTGGGCTTGGGACCGGCAGTAGCTCCGAAGGGTTTTCAGGCGGAGTGACCGACGGGATTATGAAGACGTCGATATCCAATGGACAGCTAGGATGCAGCTGGACGATATGGACTTCGCAGGATGACCTGGCTCTTCTATCGCACACGCAACAACAAATGCAAGAGAAGACGACCAGTGTAACAGCAGTCTCTGCAGCAGTAGGTCTCCACATACATAAAGGAAAAAGCGAAATTCCTCGATTCAACAAAACATGCACCAATCAAATCACTCTTGACGGAGATGCCTTGGAGGACGTTAACACCTTTACATATCTTGGCAGCATCATCGACGAGAAAGGTGGATCCGATGCAGATGTGAGGGCGAGGATCGGCAAAGCAAGGGCTGCATTTCAGGATTTTCCATACAAATGTCAAGACAGTTCTACTGTATGGGGTGGAAACTTGGAGAACCACGAAAGCCATCATCCAGAAGATAAAAGGATTTATTAACAATTGTCTAGACAAAGATACTTCAGATCCGTTGGCCAGACACCATCAGCAACAACGAACTGTATGAGAGAACAAACCAGATTACAGTGGAGGAAGAAATCAGGAAGAAGCGGTGGAAGTGGATAGGACACACATTGAGAAAAGCACCCATCTGCATCACAAGATAAGCCCTCACTTGGAACCTACAATCCAAAAGGAAAAGAGGAAGGCCAAAGAACATATTACGCCGAGAAATAGAGAAAGACATGAGAGGAATGAAGAAAAATTGGACATAACTTGTAAAAAAGGTCCATAAGAGAGTAAGTTGGAGAAAACTGGTCAGCAGTCTATGCTCCATTGGGGGTAACAGGCGTAAGTAAGTGAATAAATTTGAGCATAAAATGAAGTATTCTTTCTTCTTGAATTGTTATCACATCCAGTGTTCATGTGTGTGTGTGTGTGTGTCATCATTTGAAACAATCAACAACTATAGTTTATTCCAATTGGAACTGATATCTGATAATTTACAACCATTCATTAATTTTTTTTCCTGTCAGGTACAAAGAGAATTACTTGTACGTAGACGTTATCGTGCATCACCTGTGGAAACAACTAAAATTGATCGAAAAATTCATCGTCTAGATCAACGTTTTCGTAGAGCAAGTCGACGTCGACGTTCATGTGATGATCTATTGATATTTGAACCAATCAAGCCATTGAACAGTAACAATGATAATTTCTTTAATGAATCTGACAGTGATTGTGATTCATATGATGCTGATTATCCAAAAGTAAGTAAACGAAAAAAACGAAAGACGAATTCAATGGAGGTGGCATAGGAACGACTTGATTGTGACTAATTCGGTGATAAAGGAACATGAGAATGGTTATAGTAGGTGTTGGAGGAATTTGATTATGGACCAATTTGGTCTCGTGTGCTGTTGTTACACCACGGGTATGAGGGTATTATTCGTGCACGAAAACACGTCCACTTGATATACTTGAACTATTACGAGTTTACCTAGTTGGAAGACGAGAGCGAGGATCCGGCGACACGACATGCTACTCTAATCCGATTATCCCGACCCCCGATATTGAGTAAAAGAAGACAAGACTTGATATGAAGTATAACGTGTAATTCTACAAGCATCCAGAAAGTACGAGGTCCGAATCCAGAAGAGAATCAGGATCCCGGACCAGGGATCCAGGACCGGATCCTCTTCCTGGTCCCGGTCATAAAACGTTATACATAATGCGTATTTATATATTTTGGTCGAGTAGGAAACAGCATCGAAGTCTGTGACATTGACAGTTAAGACGAGCAATAGGAAGCGACATTTGAAGTGACATTGATGGTCAGGACAACCAATAACATTGGAGCACATGACATTAATATCTAAGACGACCATAAAATTGGCCGGTAGAAATTAACCAATAGGAATTGACCAATAATTCTCTTAGGATATTGGATGAATATCCTTCCTGGCTGCCCACACAGTGGATGGGTATTTCTTGAGAAACCTAAAAAAGAAGTCCGATTGGTGTTTGTCTTTGCAAACTGGGAGCATGACCGCGGACCCCAAGGGATAACTGCTTGATGCTGGCCTCACACAGCCTTTTGATATGTCGATGCTCTCCAAATGGCTTTACCGCCGGAGACGGAAATCCGTGAAGTAAGTTGAGGTGTGATATTTTTAGGGTTGACCTTTTCTAACCCTTTCCTTCCTTGTGAGAAGGTAGTATCGCTGCACATGTTGATTTCCCGAAGGAAACACCTTACTGCCATCACATCCCTCTACAAGCAACAGTGTGACATCGCCCTGAATTCACTGATAACTAAACTGAGGCATGTTACCATATATGTAAATTACCACCTGTTTGGGGTCCGCGAAACGATAGGAACCAATGTTTAGAGACTTGGAATGACATGGCTCAACATAATTTGCAATGGCACAGATCCATCCATTCTTTGTGTTCTCTCAAGTTCTAATCCTCTGAATTACTCATGACCTTCATCTTTCTCTTCTCAAATTTATTCCGCTGGATTATACTCCAGCGGAATAAATTCGATTACCACTTATACTTCTACTACCTCTGCTACTATGGGATTTGAATCGTCACCAGTTTTCTGTCGTCTACTGATTTAAAATATATATACTGAGTTGTCAGGTCTCCAAAGGTATAACACAATATGCTGGTTTAAATAGTCCGGTTGTTTCGAAACAATAAAACCAATAAGTCGTCACATTCCAATTTTCCTTTGATAAAATACAATATAACTTTCCTGTCTTTGACATTTATTCCGGATACAGAAGGCTCGATTGGCTTTTGCCAACCTGCGTCATTTATGGCGTAGGCGAGATATCCGTTTGCTGACTAAAGGACGAGTGTACTGTGCAGTAGTTCGCTCCGTCTTACTTTATGGTTGTGAAACATGGCCACTGAGAGTAGAAGATATTTGTAGGTTACAGGTTTTCGATCATAGGTGTCTTCGAAGCATTGCTCGTGTATCCTAGGACAACCGAGTAAGCAATGCAGTTGTTAGGAAACGGGTGTTAGGCAAGAATGGCAGATCAATAGATGAAATGGTGAAACTTCGTCAGTTGAGGTGGTTGGGACATGTGTTTCGTATGCCCAACCACCGACTGCCCCGACGAGCTTTGTTTTGTAGTGTAGGAATAGGTTGGAAGAAAGTTAGGGGCGGCTAGATCAAAACATGGCAGACATCCATGAAGTCATTGACGAGTGGACTGAACCATGTCGGTAGTTGTCGACTACCTGGTTAGGGTCCGCGAGATGATAATAATCGATGGTTAGAGACCTTCAATGACATGGCTCAAAACTGTTTGCAATGGCACCGGTGCATTCATTCTTTGTGTTCTCTCAAATCCTAATCTTCTGGATTCTTCAACACCTCTAGTTTTGACTTTCTAAACTTTTCTCACTGAATCATACTTCTTGAATAATATCTTCTAATCCTAACCTCTTGGATTACTTCTAATACCTTTACTACCTCTTCTACTATTGTATTTGCATTGACAATTATATCTTTGTGTGCTAATGTGGTATGGCAACGTGAACTGATGTACTTACGTACGAAGTTCTACGTTGCATCTGACTAACTGGCTGACATTTATTCACACATTTTAGTTTACTCATTCATCACTAGTGTTTTTTCTTCCTCTTCATTTAATCAGGGTTGGGGTCCTGATGAACAACACGTTCGTAAAGTTTCAAGTCGTAAACATTGGCTTATTGATTCACATCATCATCATAAATCTCTTCGTTTATCTGTTTCACCAGCCATTCACTCTGATCCTGAACCAAATATGAATTGGTGGATACAACAAGATACAGAAGACGCTGAAACTAAAGAATGGAACACATGTCCTGAAGGTTATGATTATGCTGATGCTGAACGTACACGTGAAATACTTTATAATTCACGACGTGATAGATATAAATCATGTAAGAAATATACTAGAAATAATCATAATAAGAAGCATACAACTTATCCAAACCGTGGTCATGGTAATTTATTAACACGATGTCTATTCGGTGCAGATGATAATCCTGAAGATGTTGTCAATCAATCAAGTAGTGCAGACGATGACGACGAAGATGATGAGGATGTGGGAGATGTGATAGGTCCAGTGTCCGACGTATCGATCGGTGAAGATTCCGTGGAATTAGGCAATGATGATGAAGATGATGACGACGATGATGAAGATCTCACTGATTAACGATGGAATCCATTAAGAGAGTTTATGTAGTAGTAGCAATAATAACAGTTTATGAAATGAATTGTACATAAATTGATTCATTGTTTTTGTCCAATTATCGATTACTTCTCTCTTTGACTCTTCTCTCCTAGTATGTATGTATGTATGTATGTGTTTATAGAAAGGAAGAACGTGTGTGTGTGTGTGTGTGATATTGATTATCTTGTTGCATACATTTCAATCATTCTTTATTGATTATAATTAATTTTCTAAATCGATCATTTCAAAGACCAGACAGAAAATATTAATATGATTGGAGTTTTCTTTATTACATTTTTATATGTTTGTTGTTTTCTGATGTGATGATTACAGTGTAAAGTACTGCAAAAAAAATAATTCTGCTAATGACTTACAGACAAGATAGACACAGAAATAAATCCTCCGATGTTGGCTAGTTTTGTGGTTTGATTGTGATTAGAGGATTGTGATCGCACTATCAGCAACAATGTACAGTGCGGGAGAGAACAAACCAGATTCCAGTGGAGGAGGAAATCAGGAAGAAGCGGTGGAGTTGGTGGATAGGACACACACTACGAAAATCACTTAACTGCGTCACGAGACAAGCCCTCCCATGGAACCCTCAAGGTGAAAGGAAAAGAGGAAGGCCAAGGAACAAATTACGCCGAGAAATAGAGAAAGACACGGGGAGAATGAACGAAAGCTGCAAAGAAGTGGAAAGGTAGCCCTGGACAGAGTTGGTTGGAGAAAACTGGTGGGCGGCCTATGTTCCATTGGAGGTAACAGGCGTAAGTGAGTAAGTAGGATTGTGATCGACTGTCTGTGTTGATGCGGTTAATATAAGTCTATGGAAAATCCCTTCGTATGAGCTATAACTAATGACGCGAAAAACAGGACATTAAGTGAAAAAGTAACTAGTCATTGAAGAGTCGTTCAGTAAGTGACAACGTGGGACATTAGTACATACGTTCAGGTTGCCATACACACAACGCAACTGTCAGTTCAAATCCCATAGTGGTATCGATGGTTCAGGTATCAACAGTAATAGATCACTAGTCCAGGTGCCGATGAAACCCAATCTTGAAGCAACATTGCGCATTTCGACGGGCAAAACCGCATCCCGAACATGCTCGCATTGTTGCTGATGATAATCAGAAGACTCTACATTTTGTCAGCGTCTTCACCGAATAGAACTATGTCATCGGCATATTCTAGATCAGTAAGCGATTTTCCTGGTAGAAGGTCAACCCTTGAAAAATCTGACTAGCTTGATGTTAACTGTAAGAGGATGTCTACAACAAAGGTAAACAAGAATGGAGAGAGTGGACAGCCCTGACGGACACCACTCGATGTATAGAATTCAGAATTTTTGCTGTTGTTGAAAACAATGTTGATTACAGAAGTGAATGACATATGGGCAAATGATGTGGTGATTATACGTGATACAATATTTTAATGGTTGACTGTTAAGAAAATTAATCTGTTCGGTAGCATTAGTGTTGAGAGATTTTGTAGACTTTCAACACGCTGAACATTAGAATATAGGGAACAAGTGATCCTGATATGCATATAGTTAGTTACTTGTTCTATAATTGTCCGGCGTTTCATCTTAGGATAATTGTTATGCCTTGAACTATTACGAGTTCATCTTACTCAGTAAACGGGACGAGATAAATGACTCAGTCACTGTTGGGGATGTTAGATCCCTAGAACTCGCTTGATAAATATCTTTATTTTGGGTTTATTTCATGGACCGATCAGTTGACCCTGAGATCACGTTTCACACCAGGAAAATCCTTGTTTGTGATTGGTTACTGTGTCATTTTAGTGACTGTCCCGAGGACGTCTCTATAGAGTATAAATAAACGCAATTTGAGTGCTTGGATTGATTGTGTGCTGGCTGGGTGTTTGTAGAATACAATTTCTACACTATATCAAGACTTCTCGCTGACATCTTTTGGTCAAAGGATCACAGTAGATGTAGACTACCTGGTTGGGGTCCGCGAGACGAAAGTCACCAATGGTTAGAGACCTTGAACGACATGGTTGAAAATCGTTTGCAATAGCGCAAGTGCATCCATTCGTCGTGCTCTCTCAAATCCTAATCTCCTGGATTCGTCAGCACCTCTACCTTTGTCTTTCTTCTAACCTTATCTCAACAGAATTATACTTCTTGAATAATATCTTCAAACCCTAGCCTTCTTCATTACCATTAATTCCCTTTACTATCTTTATCACTATGTGATTTGATTTGACATTAGCGTGTCTCTGTGTGCTAATGTAGTGAGTGGTATGGCAACATGAACAGTGAAGTACATACGCACGTACGAAGTTCTTCTACATTGCAACTGACTGACTTACTGATTGACAACAACAACAAAACTTTACACATCACACTGAAATTATATTCAAATAATTAAATGAATATAATTTATTATTATTATTACATACATACACACACATGAAGGACAATTTTCTTGATTTTTTAAAAGAAAAAATAAAAGAAAGCATTTGTGTTGAGAAAAGAAAACAAAACGAAAAACAAATAATTCTTTTTTCTTTTTTTATTATTGCAAAATCAAAGTAGGAGTTTTTTTTCGAAGAGAAAAAACAAACGAAACGAAACAGAACAGAAATGAAGTATGATTAAACAGAGAATCATGGAAGAAGAAGAAGGAGAAGTAAATCATTGTAACTTGTCTAATCGTAGTAATATAGTAACAGTTATTATGAAATAATAATAATAGAAATCAACAAACACACATGGATGATTGAATTGTATGCAATCGATATTATGTAATGTAATGTGTATGTGTGTGTGTAGGCTGAGCGAGGGAGGAGGGGTTGGGGTGGTTGGTGGCGACGGCGGCGTTTTGTTAGCTTTCAAAAAAATTTTGCACAACTAATACGCCTGACAACCACATATAAATATGTAACTATGTAGTTGTAAAAACATTTACATACACTGTAAAACGTTTGCGTAAACAAACAAACACGGGGCAGAGTGCGAGAGAGAGGCAGAAGAAGAAGAAGATGAAGTGACGCAAACACAGGTCACGGTAAGTAAACACTATGCATTGTTTTAATAAACTAATGAAAAAGTACACTTTGAAAAGGTCATAAATAGATAAACAAATGAACAAGACAGGATAACCTGAAGCAGAATGATACGATGACTAAAAGATAAAAACACCAGAAAGAAATTGAACATCAAGGAGAAGAAAGATAAAATACTGAGAAAAAGCGCACACACACACACAGAACTATGACGTCATCGAAAAACGAGAACGCCATTGGCTCGGAACACACTGAAAAAAATCACTTGTATGCATTTTATGGTACAACACAGTAGTTTCGTTTCTTCAAAATAGTAGTATATGAGTGTGTGTGTAGGTACTGAGTCGGTTGAGAGAGAGAGTGTGTGTAGGGTTGTTTTAATTGTACAAAAACAACGCAGAGAGAGAGAAGAGAAGAAAATGAAAATGATTCACAATCCAGCTAGCTATACGTGTGTGCTTATCAATCAATAAATAATATATATATCTATATATCACATGATCATTTATTTGCCTAGCACACACATACATACATACATGTATATATAAAAGATTGCACTGTGTCGGGGTGGGGTGGGGCGGGGGAGAAGAAGAACACAAGAATAATAATAAGAAGAAAACAATCAATCAATAAATAAATCGATGTATACACAGACATGATTAAAATTAGTAGAAAAAAAATAAATAAATAATGCCAGATAATAAATAATGAGTAGTACTATTATTATTGATTGCTGGCAGGTTATACACTTGAGCACAAACAACAACACATAATATTTTGACGCCTACATGATAATAATAATAATAGGTACAAAAGAAACTAATCCGTATATCAACATTCATTCAATCAATGCTCCTCTTATACCTACCTCATAGAGAGAGAGATTTGGTGCTTGTTTACAAATAAACAAACATACACAATGATGAATAACACAGTTCAGAAATAATAATAACAATAATAATAAAAGAAATAAAACTGAACGAACAAATGTCATCCTGATCACAAATATCATTAGATTGATTGATATAGAGATGTGGTGTCGAATAGAGGTGGATTTACTGAAACCATGATAATATTAATACACATTTAGGAAATGCATAATAGGTAAAACAGAATTTCCAAACACACATCTGTCAGTGACACTTTTTACACACGCACACACAAACACATGTATGGATGGATGACAATCGGAAAGAAAAGTACGGGGCAGCATCGGTGGCGACGGCGGCGGCAGCCGAGAAAGCGTATCGACACAGTAGTAAAACAACAACAACAATATTAACAATAATGATAATAACAAAGAAGAAAGTAAAGCAAAGTAAAAATGAAACACACAAAATACATGATAAATAAATTAAATTGAATAGATAAATAAATCAATCAATATTTGTTCATGTCTTCTCCTCTGTTTTAATTAACTACTAATAAAAGAAAGAGTAAATTTTAAAATGAGCAATTTAATGTGTGTGTGTGTGTGTACAAGAGGATTGTTTTTTGAACAGTGAACATGAATGAATAGTAGCTAGATAGCTTAGCTTAGATAGCTAGCTATCTGGAGAGAGAGAGATAGATAGACACTCTATGCGTTATGGAGGAGGAGCGATATTCTGTGTATGCTGTTGATGATGAGGCTGTACACTTGTAGTAGTAGTGGTAGTAGTAGTACTAGTAAAATAACCATTAGGATTATGATTTAGTGCACTGAAATCATTATTGCTATCATTATTTGTAATAGGATTGTTATGGTTACTACTACTACTACTACTACTACTACTACTACTAGTAGTAGTAGTATTAGTAGTATTAGAAGTAGCAGTAGAAGTAGAAGTAGGAGTAGGAGTAGGTGTAGGAGTAGTGTTTGCATAAGCAACATAATCCGAATTACCAGCTGGCGGTGGTGCATGTGCATGTTGATCAAGCATTATTGATTTGCTAGGATTATGATGATGATGATGATTATTCATGTTATATAATTCATGTAAACATATATCACAGGTCCAATGGGCATCTGTAGTACGAGGTAATCGAGTCGGAGGGATGATACAATGTGCATGGAATACACGATCACAATCCCAACAAAATATCATTCGATCCTAAAATAGAAAACGAAAAAATATTCTGATTAAAAATATGCCAATACATTATTCTCGTATACAATTACAATTATCTACCATTAATTATAAGTTCACCCGGAGCCGTCCTACGATAACAACCATGTCATTCAAGGTCTCTAACCATCGATTATTATAATCTCGCCGACCCCAACCAGGTAGTCGACAATTACGTACATGGCTCAGTCCACTAGTCAATGACTTCATGGATTTCTGCCATGTTTTGGTTTGGCCGCCCCTAACTTTCTTCCAACCTACTCCTACACTACAAAACAAAGTTCGTCGAGGCAGTCGGTGGTTAGGCATACGCAACACATTTCCCAACCACCTCAACTGATGAAGTGTCACTACTGAGTCTATTGATCTGCCATCCTTGCCTAGTACTCGTTTCCTAACGACAGCATTGCTTACTCGGTTGTCCCACGATATACGAGCAATGCTTCGAAGACACCTATGATCGAAAACCAGTAACCTACGAATATCTTCTACTCTCACTGGCCATGTTTCACAGCCATATAGGAGAACGGAGCGAACTGCTGCGCAGTACACCCGTCCTTTGGTTAGCGAACGGATATCTCGCCTACGCCATGAGTGACGCAGGTTGGCAAAAGCCAATCGAGCCTTCTGTATCCGAGCTGAGATTTCGTCAGTCACCACGCCATCAGCACTGATGAGACTCGACTACTTCACTCCCTATCACTAGTTCAGGTGCCGATGCAACCCAATCTTGAAGCAACATTTTGCATTTCGAGGGGGAAAACCGCATCCCAAACATGCTTGGATTGTTGCTTAGGGTAGTCAGAAGACTCTGCATTTTGTCAGCGTCTTCACCAAGTAGGACTATGTCATCGGCATATTCTAAGTCTATAAGCGAGCCACCTGGTAAAAGGTCTACTCCTGAAAATTCAGACAAGGATAAAGTTATATCTAGGAGCATGTCTATGATGAGCCATGATGTCATTCAAGGTCTGTAATCATTATCGTTTACTACTATGTCCCGGACCCAAGCCAGGTAGTCGACACTTATCAACATGACTCAGTCTAGTCTAGTTTTGGCATTCAAGGAAAATTGAAGCCAGTAAGTAGTATATACATATTTAAAAGCTTATAAAGAAAAATCAAAGACATACCTGATGATCATCTTGATTGCATAACCAACATGTTTTACACTCAATACACTGCCATGGATAACGTAGTGCAGCATCAATTACATGTGGAGGTAAACGTAGACATGTATAATGTGCACTATGTCCACATCGTGAACAATGTAACATACCTTCTGGATGACCACTAACACGTGAATTCATCAGACTATCATCATTTAAACAATAATCACATATAGGCATTGTGGATGCATTATTCATCATCATCGATGAACGTGTTAGACCAAGTCGGCCAGGACAATGTTGTCGTTCATAACGTCGTTGTTGTGGACCAACACGATTCATTGTCACTGGAGACTGGTGGTGTTGTAGTTGTTGCTGTTGTTGTTGTGATAGTCGAGAATAAAAATGATTATTACTACTAGGAACGCCTGGAGTACAACTCCCACCACCAACACCTCCACCACTACCACTATAGGACATTTGATGAAATACTGTATTGTGAGAATTCCAATGATTCTGGTAAGAATGTTGGTGATGCAAAGGATGTTGATGTTGATGATGATGGGGATGATGAGGATGAGGAATAGGTGCAGAAGTTTTATGATTCATCATACTGTTGTTGTTCTGGTTGCCTAGATGTGACACTGGTGAATTATACGATGACAGTCGTGAAGCATGATTGTATTGTATATTTGTATGAGGTAAATTACTACTACTACTATTATTCATTGTAGTAGTAGTAGTAGAAGTAGTAGTATTACTATAATTATTGTAGTCAACCGTTTGATATCTTGACATCGATGTTGACGATGATGATGATGAGGACGATGATGAATCATTATTATTATTGACTACAACCATGGAATCTTTTGAATCGTTGAATTTGCCAGGAATTATCATCGTTGTTGGTGTTGTTGATGCTGATGTTGATGATGCTAATGATGAAGGAGGCATTGAACATTGGGATAAACGTTCTGTATTATTATGCATATAAGATAACTTGTTCATTTCCATAGAAGAAGATGAAGTGGGTAATTCACTATTATCATTACTCAATTCAATCGAATTGAAATGATGATGATGATGATTCGCAGTCATTTTGTCACGATATTTCAATGCAACTGGTTGACTTGCAATCAGATCGATTAATTTCGGTTCTACAATTGATCTGGTAGAGTCTAGTGTTTTACAATCGAAACGATTGATATTACTGCTGTTGTTATTATTATTATTATTATGCCCACGTTTGTTAGTTTGAGATGATGGTGAGTAGGGATTTGTAGTTTCTATATAAAACAAGGAGAAAGAAGGTTACAATATATATATATTTTAAAAAAATATATTGTACTATTATAGATATGAGAACAACAATGCTGACGCCTTCATCAGATGGTGTCATCTAGTAAAAAATCTTGACTTAAGCCAAAGAATATCTCAAATACACAAAGAATACGTCAAAAAAATCTTCTGGAACTGGAAATATTCTAAACTATACATATGTTTATCAGATGATGGAGAAAATTTGTAGCTCAGGTGGATGATTGTGGCGGTTTTTCGTTCTCTGAGCTAGATCTTTCGTTGATCCTTTGAACAACTTCATCAGTACAAACTTCAGATAGAAGAAGTAAAGTATTAGAATTTCTCCACATTTGATCTGCGGTTTGTTCTCTTAACCTCGATCTTGATTGGTGGTTGTTGACCTTAAACCTGTCGTTGTTTGCAACTTTGTTTTGATTGCATCCTCCTTTTGATCTGATTCTAGATCTTATGTCACCTATGATTTACCTGATCGATTGATAAATTGGATCAATGTCGATGTGTTTGTTGATTTCTGATTGACTTGAGTGCCAAGCTTCTCCAGTGTTCGCTTTGTCCTCCCCTATCCAGTATTTGCACATTGTTCCAATCGAATGTATGTCCATAATTATCCGTATGTATTGATATAAGCAAAGAAATGTCGTGGCGTTTGACTGCTAATTGGTGTTCACGAAGCTGAAGAGGCAGTCCACTTTATCCTACGTAGTGTTTTTCACAGTCTGAGCAGTTGTTTATTTTGTAGATGATATTTGATTTTTCTTCCTTTGTCATTTTGTCCTTCAATGTCTACATAGGATTGATTGAAGTGATTCTGTTGGTTTGTGTGCCACACCTATTCCAAATGGTTTCAGTAGTCGTGCTGTATGCTCCGATATGTCTTTGATGTACGGCAGGATGATCCGTTTCTTGGTTCCCGTACTTGATTTTGCTTCTGTTGACGATTTCAGTTGATGCTTCTTGATAAAGTTGCGTGGATAGCAGCCGTTCTTTTGGAAGATAGTCATCAGGTGTTTTTCCTTAGCTATAGTTAGTATATGACATATTCAAAAACCACTGATTCAGTCAGTCAGCTGCAATGTAGAACTCTGTACGTATGTATATCAGTTCAGGTTGCCCCATAAGCTATTAAACAAACGGACGACAAATTTGCTAGTTCAAATAGCAAAGTAGCAGAGGTACTAGTGGTACTAGCGGTAATGCAGAAGATGAGGAAATTTCGAAGATATTAATCAAGAAGAAGAAGTATAATCTAGCGAAAAAAAAAACTTAAAAAGGGGAAAGATAAAACTGATAAAAAAAAATCCAGAATATAACAAAGAAATTATGCGAATACACGGAATGTGACTTTTTGTCAAAAAAAAAATCCTGCAAGGTGCAGGATTCGTGGATGCTCATTGCCACTGAGGAGTCCCATACCAGGACGAAAAGGCCGTATTTCAGTGCTTCCAGGTTTCTTCTAATGGTGGTCTAACATTGATCATCGATTCATGGTTTCAAAAATGTGTAACTTAACAATCTTCACAACCACGTAATGCAAATTACCTGTGCTCACTATTGACTAGCTCCGTGAGGAATCTTCTCCAAGTTCTAGTGGGAAGACGTGATCAGTGAAGTTCAACCTGTTCGGGTGTAGACAGTAACTACCAAAGACTGTGTATGAGGTTGCGCAAGTCCGTGAACTGATCAGGTTAGACATTAACACCGTTAGATACCGGCCCACTGGTTTAACGGTTAGGCGTTCGCACACAGTGCCGAAGGTCCCGGGTTCGAATCCTGCGAGGTGCAGGAGTCGTGGATGCGCACTGCCACTGAGGAGTCCCATGCCAGGACGAAACGGCCGTCCAGTGCTTCCAGGTTTCTAATGATGGTCTAACATTGATGGATTCATGGTTTCAAAAAATGTGTAACTTAACAATCTTCACAACCCCGTAATGAAAAAAAAACAGAACACAATCAATCAATCAACGGGTAGTGAATATTTAACTTACTAGAGTATGGTGACGATAAGTTACTACTGCTTGATCTGCTGTCTTGTTCAGAGGAGGCAATTTGATATTCGTTAGCATAGTGGGAATTCGCTAATTTATCACGAGATTTCGATGAAGCGGTCGAACCTAGGTTTTGTTTGGAAAAAAAAAACACAAGAACAGTCAATCACACGGTAAAGGGATAAGAAAAGTGTGATACAGTGATTTTGCTTTACGGGGTTGTGAAGATTGTTAAGTTACACGTTTTTGAAACCATAAATCGATGAATATTAGACCAGCATTAGGAACCTGGAAGCACTCGACGGCCGTTTCGTTTTAGTGCCTCCAGGTTTCTAATGGTAGTGTAACATTAATCGATTCATGGTTTCAAAAACATGTAACTTAAGTATCTTCACAACCCCGTAATGCAAATTACCTGTGCTCACTAGTGACTATCTCCGTCAGGAATCCTCTTCGAGTTCTAGTGAAAAGTCGTGACCGGTCAAGTTCAACCTGTTCGGGTATAGACAGTAACTACTGAAGACAGTGTATGAGGTTGCACAACTCTAAGAATTGATTGAAGATAGACATTGACACCGTTAGATACCGGTTCAATGGTCCAGTGGTTAGGCGTTCACGTGCAAGACCGAAGGTCCTGGGTTCGAGTCCTTCAAGGTGCAAGAGTCGTGGATGCGCACAGTGATTATACGTTCAATTATATTATAAAATAAACCATTAAAATACTAATCCTTATGAAAAAAACGCTCATATTCTAAAACTTAAGACAACAACATCAATGGGACTGGTATTATACATACACAAACAGTAAACTTTCATAATTATTACATAATCAATTTCCAACAATACCTCGATGTCTTCTAGGCCGTCCACCACGCAATCCTCCACCAATACCTCGTTCTTCACCAACCGGTACAACTAAACGTGATGCTGAAGCGGAAATAGGATTTTGTGGTGTATAACCTGAATGTTGACTATGATAATGATAACGTAATCCTGCAGTGGATCGATAACGTGATGAGCATACTTCACAGACAAAAAATGTCACAGTTGTAGTAGCTGTTTGAGGATTAACAAATGTTTGTAAATCCCCGACTATTTGTCCATGATTAGAGGCATCATCAATCATTCGGATCATATCATTATGAGTTGTCGGTAAAGGACTATTATTATTAGCATTATGAATATTCCTGTGATTACTATTACTATTTACATGATCGAGATTACCAAAAACTGAATTATTATGAAAACTATCCACAGGTATTGCTGCTGCTGATGCTGCTGACAAAGGATTATATCGATTCATTGTTGGAGTAGTAGTAGTAGTAGTAGTAGCAGTGGTAGTACTAGTACTAGTACTAGTACTAGAAATATCATTACAATTTGTCAATTTCGATAGATTCGAACGACGACCAGATAAAAAGCTCTGTGGACTACTACAACTACTATTACTATGATTTGATAAATCTCCACTGCTAATACGCATCATATAATCATTGGAAGAATCATATCGATACGATGATGATGATGATGACGAGGACGGGGGTAGTGCTGATGCTGATGCATGATGATTGTTCGATTGTTCGGATAGTCGACATGAATCCATTGGAAATGAGGCTGCTACTGTTGCTGATGAGTCTATACACGATGATGAAATGGATAACGATGTCCCGCTAAGATTAGATTGATGATTAACATGCATGAAATGAGAATAATTCATTGGCGTAGCGGGTGAATGCATGAATTTCGACTGTTGTTGTTGCTGCTGCTGTAGCTGAGACTGTTCTGAGTGGAATCGATTTTGCATAGACAATTCATACATACCTGTTAATGATCTATGATCATCATTTGGTCTGTATGAAGTATGATGATATAAAGAGTTTGCTGATGATGATGATGATGAAGTAAAGAAATTGGAAGTATTCAATCGATGTTGATGTTGATCATCATCTAATGATACATGACAATCACTGATGAATTTATTTTCATCCATTATCGGTGTAGCAGCATTCAATTGATAACCTGGTTCATTGTCAACATCCCATGCATCGACTGTTAGGGTTATCCATACACATACATAGAAAATACATATAAATTATTATATTCGAGTAAATAGTTTATTGAACTAACAGAACAAACTAACTAACTAAACGTGTAATAATCATGATAATAATAACTCAGTGAACAACTAACTACCTACCTTAGTTAGATTTTTGTGACATCTTAATGGTTCAGAGTGTAATGATTAATTATAGATAAAATTTAAAACATATATATATAAACCTCAGAATTTTTTTAAAAAAAAAATGTACAAATTGATTACCTACATTCATTCATTAAGAAATTAAGCGTATTGTATTAGAGTAAAGGCTAAGTGAAAAAAAATAATCAACTGCCGACTGACTGACTGACTACCGTCAATCCCGACCGTAGCTTCTACCTTGACGTGGTGGTTGGGCTTGCCTATCGTGATGACCCAACCGAGTTATATTGGCTGGAACATATGTTCCTGAAGGTTCTACCATGCCAAGCAGGTCGATTGGAGAACGATCAGACTAAAAGCAGCTACTCAAGTTCTGAGGGCGAAGTCGTACTGCTGACTGCAGAGAGGTGTGACAGCAGTGTTTCCCTCGGACAACCAGCATCTGCATCGATGTTGCCTTCTCACAAGGAAGGAAGGGTTAGAAAACGTCGACCCTAAAAATGTCACACCTCACCCTACCTCACGGATTTCCGTCTCCGAGGGTAAGGGTGCCCACTAAGGGCTTTCAAGAGCGGAGCTAACACTCAAAAATCCTTTCATAAAAAGGCCGTGCGTGACCGGCCTCAAGCAGTTGTCCCTTGGACTCTGCGGTCACGCACCAACACTTATCTATCTTCCATTTCAGGTTCCTCTAGAAACAACCTTCCACGGTGTGGGCAGCCGGGAAGTGACAACCGCTCTCATACCCGTAACAGCACATGGGACCGAATTGGTCGAAATCAAATCCTTCCTACACCCTTACATACCTCTCTTCTCTCCACAGCGAACTCCACTCACAGTCCCTTTTCTCACTGCACCGCTAATGCAGACGAAGCGAGTTCACGAAACGTCATTTCTGGTCTCTTGAAACCCCGTTCTAGACTACATGTTGGAGCTTTTAATGTACGGACATTGTGTCAAATAGGGCAACATGCATCATTAACTAGGACTTTAGAATCGCTCCGTCCTACTATATGGATGCGAAACATGGTCGTTAACAGTAGAAGATATTCGTAGGTTACTAGTATTCGATCATATACGTTTACGAAGCATTGCTCGTACATCGTGGGACAACCGAGAAAGCAATGCTGTTGTTAGGAAACGAGTTCTAGGTAGGGATGGCAAACCAATAGATGAAGCATTGAAACTTCATCAGTTGAGGTGGTTATGACATATGTTACGTATGCCTAACCACCGAATGCCTCGACAAGCCATGTTTTGTGGTGTAGGAGTAGGTTGGAAGAAAGCTAGGGGCGTCCAGACCAAATCATGACCTTGAATGACATAGCTCAAAATCGTTTGCGATGGCGCAGGTGCATTTATTCTTTGTGTTGTCTCAAATCCTAATCTTCTGGATTGGTCAGCACCTCTACCTTTATCTTTCTAATCTTATCTCACTGAATCATACTTCTTGAATAGTATCTTCTAATCCTAACCTCTCCGATCACTTGTAATACCTTTACTACCTCTACTACTATTGGATTTGAATTGACAATTACATCTCTATGCTAATGTGGTATGAACACTGATGTACATATGTACGAAGTTCTCAGGTTGCAACTGACTGACTCTTCATACTGATAGACAAAGAATTGAAGTGTTTTACTGTAATTTTTATTTGCCTAATACCTGTGAACTGTATGTATTTGGGCATTCGAATTAAAGTACATAAATTTCTTCACATTTTAACCCAGAAGTCTTAAACCTACAATGGTAACAAAACCTTGAACGACATGACTCAGAATCGTTTGCAATGGCGCAAGTGCATCCACTCTTTGTGTTCTATCAAATTCTAAGCTTCTGCATTCCTCATAATCTCTACCTTTCTCATTCTAAATTTATGTTGCTGAATTATACTTCTCGAATTATATCTTCGCTCCCGATTCTTCTCCAGTACTGCTAATACTTCTATTATTACTATCACTCCTGGATTTGAACTGAAAGTTGTGTCTCTGTGCTGATGTGTTATGGCAACTTGAACTGATATACATACGTACGAAGTTCTGCGTTGTATCTATCTGTCTGTCTACAATCTAATTCACAAGACTACAACAGTAAAGTTATGTGACAGTGTCGCATAACTTCATCTATTCATGTGTACCAATAGTAAGTATTTCGGGGAATGAACATTTTATATAATACCTCCCCCTCCGCAAAATGAACTTCCTATGTCTATCATCTATATGCATGTGCGTTAGCTCGGTCGCTCGCTCGCACACACACACAAATGTAATATAAATGTAAAAGATTTAAGACAAATAATCAAATTACCGTTGCAATCGTTTAATTTTTCTCTCACAACACCATAACGTTGAAGAGTTTTTAAACTATCACTTATATGCCGAGTACCAAGACGAGAAATCGCCCGACTACCACGACGTCCACCAGCAACAGTTGGACCAGATTGATTAGCAATGGAGGTGTAAGACAGATCATCCATACGTGAATCATTTGCCTAGGGAAAATTGAGGGAAAAAAAGTGTATACCGACTAGTTGAGATATTCAAAATGTGACGACAAGTCAAAAAAAATGTATTAGATAGACAGTGTTACCGAAAATATACAATGTTTATGTTACGCCTGCATGTAAACACGTCATTTTGATATGCCTGAACTATTACGAGTTTACCTTAGTCGGAAAACAAGAGCGAGGATCGAGGGTCCGGCGACACAACATGCTACTCTAATCCGAGTGTACCAAACGCCATTGAATAAGAAGAAGACTTGATATGAAGTAGAACCTGTATTCTACAAACATCCAGAAAGTACGAGGTCCGAATCCAGAAGAGAATCAGGATCCAGGAGCGGGTCCTGGTCCTGGCCATAAAACGTTACAGATAATGCGTATTTATACAGTTTGGTCGAATAGGAAACAGCATCGAAGTCTGTGACATTGGCAGTTAAGACAACCGATAGGAAGCAACATTTGAAGTGATACTGATAGTCAGGACAACTAATAAGAAACAACATTGGAGCACGTGACATTGATATCTAGGACGACCATAAAATTGACCAGTAGGAATTAACCAATAAGATTTGACCAATAATTGGATGAATATCCTAACAGTTTATTCGAATTATATGATCAGGTTTGTTAAAAAATCGATAGTAAATTTTTTTCTTGGTTATTCGAATAACTGGGATATATTACACTAGTGGTAAAATATTGAGACAGACATGAAATATATTCTTAGCTTTGTTATTATTAAGTAGAACCTATAGCGGTTATCTTGTGATGTTTTTCCTGTGTCCGATTAGCCACAAACAAATGCGCGCCCACGTTAGAGCATGATCTGAATCTAGACATGTGTGCCCCAGGACGATCGACAGTCCTCTATTAAACCTTTCCATCGGTGTGCCTGATAACGATGTGATCTAGTTGGGTCCAGAGTTGGGAAGATGTTTAGGGTCGCCATGTCAAGAGATGATTTTCCCTGATACTAAAAGTTAGTATTTGTTAGGATGTTAGGATATTCACCAAATATCCTAAGAGTACTATTTTTAGAGGTGTGATCCCATCGGTCAAAATTATGGTCATTTTAACTGTCAAAGTTAAATACTTCAATGTTGTCTCTTATTGGTCATCCGGACTGTCAATGTCATTTCAAGTGTTCTTTCCTATTGGTCGTCCTGAACTGCCAATGTCACAGACTTTGATGCTCTTTCCTATTCGACCTTAATGTATAAATACGCACTATCTGTAAGCCTTCATGATTCGGATTCGGATTCCGTTTCTCCTGCCTACCTCTCTTCTATACTCGACCCAATAAACAACTCCATCCCACGGTGTTGCGTTCTGATATATAGGAGATTTGGAAATCGCATTTTGGGTCGTATTGGGATATTTGAATAGCTAGGACTGAATAGCTATACGTAGCAGCGTTACGACATAGGAATAGGCAGTTATTTGAGCAAGTGCTTCAGTATAGTAGTTATTTTAAGTGAATGTTTCATCAAAACTTGATCATAAATAATGACCGATTATGAAGAAGAAGACGAAGAACAATAACAACAACAACACAACAGGCACTCACTCGAAATCGACCAGAAAATGGACGACCCAAATGACGTTTAGTAAAACGTCTTGCCCCACCACCACCAGCACCACCACTACTAGCACCACCCGTTAAGCGACTATTGAGTGCAGGAAAATTTTGTGCGGAACGATTCATCATTTTTCTATTATATTTTGTTGCTTTCAATGAATACACAGAAGATCGTGTTTTACCTCTTCTTTCATTACCACTCATAGTTGTCAGACCATTGGTGGTGGTACCATTACCACTAGAGCTGCCTAGATTTCCACCTCCGCCAATCTTACGTCGTCGTTGTCCAGTCGTCGTCAACCAATCTGTATCATCACCATCGGCATCATTATCATCATCATCAGGATTATCCATCGCTTCGCCTATTTCATCACTATTCTCATCATCATCATCCTCACCATCATCCTGACGATCATCATCAACATCTTGCTGCCGACTTACAACATTATAATCTCGATGTTGATGATCTGTATCTTCAGAGATATTATCTAAATCATATGTTTTAGCAGTATAGTCTGATTTATTCAACAGCAGAACATGTTGATTATCAAACAAATGAACATGATCAACATTTGTCCTGTGATTATTTTTATGTATACGTTTAGTTGTGGCATCATCGCCACCACCAATAATAATACTGTCTTGACTTGGTTCTTCATCATTGTGTAACAATCCTGTTGCTGTTGTTGTTGCTGTTGATGATGATGAATTGATTAGTAATGCATCATGAGTATGATTGTCATTTGGTAATTTTCGTTGAAATGAATTTGAATGCATTTGAATGGCATTGTTGTTGTTATTAGCTCCAGTGAAATGTGAATACTGTGATCGATTAGTTGTATTGGTAGAAGAAATATTTGAATTACTACTATTATTCGCGGTAGTATTTGTATGGTTTCCTGTGGTAGACACACGAGGATTTATAACATCTAAATAGTTAGCCAAACTGGATGGTATTGAAAGACCGGCTATGGAATATGCTCTTTTTGTAACAACAGGAACTAAATAAGAGAGAGGCAGAGAGAGAGAGAGAGAGAGCAATAAACTATATAGTATTAAAACGTACCACATATATATATATATGTAGACATGTAGATGAGTTAGTTCGGATACACAACATGTTATCATCAAATTTTACTTCTCAAACAACTATTCGAACTTACAATGCCTGTAACATCTGGTTTCTATCTTTTGCTTGTCTTCGAATATAGGTATCTCCGAAGCATTAGTCGTATATAAAGGGACAGCCGAGTAAGCAATGCTGTCATGAAGAAACGAGTACTAGGTAAGGATGGCAAATCAATAGATGAAGTAGTGAAACTTCATCAGTTGAGGTGGTTGGGACATGTGTTATGTATGCCTAACCACCGACTGCCTCGACGAGCTATGTTTTGTGGTGTGGGAGTAGATTGGAAGAACGATAGGGGCGGCCAAACCAAAACATGGCACAAATCCATGAAGTCACTGACTAGTGGACTGAGTCATGTTGGTAGATGTAGGCTATCTGGTTGAGGTTCGCGAGACACTAGAAACCAATGGTTGGAGATTTTGAACGACATGGCTCAAAACCGTCTGCAATAGTGCAGGTGCATCCGCTCTTTGTATTCTATGAAATCCTAAGCTTCTGCATTCCTCAAAATCTCTACCTTTCTCCTTCTAAATTTATCTTACTGAATTATACTTATCGAATCATATCTTCGATCCCTAATCTTGTCCATAACTACTAGGACTTTTACTATCGCTATCACTCTTGAATTTGAGCTGACAGTTACGTCTCTGTGCTGACGTAGTATGGCAACCTGAACTGATGTACATACGTACGAAGTTGTGTTGTATCTGCCTCTCTTTCTGTCTGTCTATTCCAGCTAATAACGTTTGTTTATTTTGATTTATCTTTAACACATCAACTATATCTATCAATCTCAAAATCAAGTTTTCGACCTTGTGCTGTGGTTTCATACTCTGAACTGGATAGTTCGGTTGTGGAGCTTTCATTGTTCTTAAGAACCATTTCAACAACAAGGTGCAAACAACGACAGGTTTAAGGTCAACAACAACCAGTCAAAATCGATATTAACAAAACAACCAATGGGTCATGGCTGAAGAATTTCGTTATACTTTAATCCTATCTGAAATTTGTGCTCAGAAGTAGAGCGATGAAAGCTTCACAACCAAAACATTCAGCGGAGAGAACGAAACTGCACCACAATCATCCATCTTATTATGTTCGTCACTAAGTATGCTTGAGGCTATTACGAGTTTACCTTAGTCGATAAACGCGAACGAGACTTTTACCAGCGTCCAGATAGGATACCTTGAATACCAAACTAAAGTAAGAAGGCTTTGTGTAAGCGTAGAAAGTATATTCTACAAACACCCAGCAATCACAGTACAATCAAGTACACAACTCTCGTTTATTTATACATCATAGAAACGTCCTTGAGACAGTCACAGAAATAGCACACTAAAATACACAGCAGCCAATCACAGCCATGGATTTTACTGGTGGGAAATGAAATCTCAAGGTCAACTGATCAGCCCATGCTGGCAAACGTGAGCACCAAAACAAGGCATTTATCAAGCGAGTTTCGGGGATATAACATCCCCAACACATCTGAGCTACAAATTTCCCCCATTATCTCAAACTATACGACCTATCGGCTTCACAAATCTTTACTGCTAAATAATAATTATTACACTGATTGATAGACATTGAATACGAACAAAAACAACGCTTTATTGCATCAAAGTTATTTTTTTGAAAAAAAACACAACAACAACAATGCACTACTTAAATGGTTTTTTTTTTAAAAAAAGAGAGAGATAAGTAGTAAGTAGGGAACACAAAAAATTTACCTAAATCAGAAGGAATTCCAAGAGCTTTTAATCCATTCTGTAATGTGCACCAAAGTTTTTGATTAGCTGTTTTACGTTTTTTATTCGGTGATTGATAATCCAAATGCCAACGATAACGAGGAAAACGTAAATAAACATGAGGATCTTTGGCTGGTGATTCTGTAAATAAATAAAATTGAAATTTTTTTTTGTGAAAAAAAAATTACAAAGAAAGCATAATAATAATAAAAAAAGAATGTTTTAGATTTACACAAAATATGCAAACCGTGAATTATGATGAGCAGAGTTTATTTAACAATAATATTTTGTTTTGGGGGGTGGGTAATATCAATTCTATGCCCCCCCCTTCAACATATCACACATGTTTTACATCAGTTTGCATTGATCAATATACATCTGTGGAAGTCCATATAAATCCAGCTTATTCGCTCCATCGTCAACACGGAAGTTTTCAATGAAACTTAAGACAAACAACGGGGAAACAATGAGTACTGCTAATGAACAGATGATACAATAAACGGGATAGTTTTTCAAATGAATTAAAGCATTTCAATGAGGTGGCTATGAAGATTGCATTGATGATGTAAGACGAGAACAAACATTCAATGATAGCAATTTGACAAGAACACTATGAATGTGAGAAGAGTTAGTCGTGGAGAGAAGAGAGGTATTAGGGGTTGTATGAGGGCGGTTATCACTTCCCGGCTGTCCACACCGTGGAAGGTTGTTTCTTGAGGAACCTGAAAAGGAAGATAGATTAGTGTTGGTCTTAGAGACCTGGGAGCGTGACCGCATAGCCCAAGGGACAACTGCTTCAGGCCGGTCACGAACGGCCTCTTTATTAAAGGTTTGTTGAGTAATAGGTCTTGAAAGCCCTTAGTGGGCACCCTTACCACCGGAGACTGAAATCCGTGAGGTAGGGTGAGGTGTGACATTTTTAGGGTCGACCTTTTCTAACCCTTCCTTCCCTCCTTGTGAGAAGGCAACATCGATGCAGATGCTGGTTGTCCGAGGGAAACACCTTACTGCTGTCACACCCTTCTGCAGTCAGTAGTACGACTTTGCCGTGAGACCTTGAGTAGCTGCTTTTAGTCTGATCGCTCTCCAATCGACCTGCCTGGCATGGTAGAACCTTCAGGAACATTTTCCAGCCAATATAGCTCTGTTGGGTCATCACGATAGGCGAGCCCAATCACCACGTCAAGGTAGCAGCACTATGAATAGAGAATATCAACTGAAAAATTTACTTAACATATATATATATATATATATATATATATATATATAAAAACCACAAAATACCTAGCTTACTCACCTCGTGAATATTCTCTGCTTGTATGATATAACCATGGAGCTGGTCGTTGTGAAATCTGTGTTGCTAAATCCAAAAATGGCAATCGAGAATAACGTGTTTTGCATAAATTACGATTGAATGCACATGTATCGGAGACCACAGCAAAATATGTTGCATGATCAGTGAATTTACTTAAAATGGTATTCGTTGTTACATTATTATTATTATTAGTAGTAGTAGTTGTTGTTGTACATGTTGTATTCGTAGTAGTAGTAACAGTAGTAGTAGCAGTAGTAGTAGTAGTACAATTTATTGTTGTCGTTGTAAAATTAATCGATGTCAACGAATGATGATTATTATTGCCTCCTGTTGATTTGACTGTATTTGAATTCATTCAGAGATAGGATGTAATTAAGCCGAAAAATTGGCATTCAGTAGGAGAAATTTAATTTTTATTGGACGATCATAATAATAAGAAGAATGATAATGATAACTACACACTGAACAATGCATCATTATGAATAGGGTTTTTAATTGGTGCACTAAAAATGAGAAATAAAATTAAAAAAAATTTCAAATTGATGTTCACAGAAATATTATACAATACACATCGATGATTTAGTGGAATACTCTCCAGTTGCCCACTCTTCTAACATTTGACTAGGACGTCTAACCCACAACTCAGTGGAGAAACGCCAGTCCTATTGTGGTGTGTGCTACTTTATACGAACGATATAAGTAGTATAAGAATGGACGTGAAAGAAGAAGTCTTACGGTCAGAAGAGGAAAACGGAAAGCAAATGGAGCAAAAGCAAGAAGTAAATAGAGTACTAACAGGAAGGAAAGGAAGCAACAACAGGAATGGAAGAACGATGGAGCGTTGGAAGTCACGACTCAAAGATGGTGTGCAAATAGAGTGTTCAATGTGATGTTTTTGTTTTTAATTGACTCAGAGTGTAAATTTGCATAATACAATCTTCCTCGCCTGCCTCAGTCTTCTCACTATGAGGAATGACAACAGTAGGTTCGTACATCATTGATTCCCTCAAGAGCATGTGCATCATTAGTATGGAATGAGGATTAACCAACTCCCCCTAAGAGGATCGATCCTCCATGCCCACCAACCTGATGCTACTAAGCCTTTCTCAGACATTCACTCCCTTGTTCACAGAATGTTTGTACATGTAAACGCCTAAGCTACAAGAAAAGTCAGTTAAGACTTTGCTGGCAATGGATATATATATATATATACTTCTGACCATGTGATAGCATTTGAGGGCCATTATTAATGAATCAATTTAACAGAAACAATAAGTTTTGTCACCACAATCTAATTGTAGCAAAACACATACATAACCCAACTAGCTAACTGTATACATATTTTAAACAATTATAAACAAACTAGTTTAATGATGAACAAGTTTTAAGTAGTTAGTTTAAAAGCAGAATAAATAAGTTGATGCAAAAATCATGTGAAGTGAATTTTATGAACATTTTCATGTGTGCTGCACACATCACAAATCAATGAGAAAAAATATAACTTTTACAGGATTTTAGTAGCTGTTCGATCTCTACTGAAACATAAGCATCTAGAGTCTACTGCAGCCATCAACTTTTGTTGAAGTTGAATAGCAATCAGCACGTATAACCAGCTGACGATTTCTTAATAGGGACATCAGTCAGTCAGCTACAACATAGACCTTCGTATATCAGTTCAAGTTGTCATACTATATGAACACATTGAGATTGAATTGTCAATTCCTATCCCATAATAGTAAAGGTAGTAGAAGTATTCAACAGTAATCGGAGAGATTACTGATCGAAAATATCATTTGAGAAGTATATCCCAAAGGAATCGATTTTTTTGAAAGAAGGAAGAGGAAGAGAATAAACGGTCATGAGGAACTAGAATTTTGCGAAAACACAAACAATGAATACATCTACAGCATTACAAACGATTTTGACCCATCAATCTTGAATTACACTGCCAGCGACTACTAACTATCCAACATGACTGAAAATATATATTTTGTATCAAAAATAATGGTCACGATCATGAATATGTAAAAATAACTACAAATGATGATTCTCATTTTGAAAAACTCCACCTGCGCACTGATATGGATCAAATGAATACCAAGTTAGTTAGTATCAAGAGATAATCCTCTTATCATATATCATACACACATCATTGAAAATTAAATAACGTAGCAGGACAACAACAAACAGTACACTTAAGATTGAAGCACGAAATCTATCAACGTGAATTTTTCTTCAACAAACCACAAAATCACGAACAAAAAAAAACAGAAAATTATAATTCTTTATTAAAGCATAATACGATAATACGACGAAAACACTTTGATTTTAGTTCTACCAAAGATTAATGGGGAAAAAATATATACTGAAAGGTATTTATTAGGTATTATAAATCGCCTATATTGTTTTCACTATAAGTAGAGTTCAAAATTAAAAAAAACAGATAACAGATATACTCACTGACTGTTATTTCTAAATTAACTGGTTAATTAGTTGTTGGTATGTGATTCTTTTAAATGTTATCGTCAGAGTTTTATTCCTCAAGGTTAGTTGAGGCAAGGTGATAGGTAGATAGATGATACTTGAACATTGTCGTCTAAACGAATTATTTTTCTGGTCAGTGTTTTCTCTTTAGTGAGTTTGATTTTTAGCGAGATGGAGTCGCTAACTCCAAATGCCCAACTCTTCTCTGTTATCCGGGCTTAGGACCGGCAGTAACCCTAGCCTAGGGCTCAAGACGGAGCATGTAAATCGATGAAATGACCAATTCAGTCAGTCAGTCAGATGCAACGTAGAACTTCGTACGTAAGTAAAGTACATCAGTTCATGTTGCCATACCACATTAGCACAAAGAGATGTAATTGTCAATTCAAATGCAATAGTAGTAGAGGTAGTAAAGGTATTAGAAGTAATCCAAGAGGTTAGGATTAGAAGATATTATTCAAGAAGTATGATTCAGTGAGAAAAGTTAAGAAAGACAAAACTAGAGTTGCTGAAGAATCCAGAAGATTAGGATTTGAGAGAACACAAAGAATAAATGCATCGGCGCCATTGCGAACGATTTTGAGCCATGTCATTCAAGGTCTCTAACCATCGATTATTATCATCTCGCGGACCCCAACCAGGTAGTCGACAATTACCGATATGACTCAGTCCACTCGTCAATGATTTCATGGATTTGTGCCATGTTTTGGTCTGGCCGCCCCTAACATTCTTCCAACTGATGAAGTTTCATTACTTCATCTATTGATCTGCCATTCTCATCTAGCACCCGATTCCTAATAACAGCGTTGCTCACTCGGGTGTCCCACGAAAATGACCAATTACTAATTAAGCAAAAGAACGTCTTGCTTTTTTTTTAATCAGTGATGTCAGTGGCGTGCGTATCAAATCGAGACTACAACATTAAATGATCGACAAATGCTTTCGAAAATGTCATCATAACAGTAAAATGAGAAGAAAATCTTTGTACAGTTACGATATCAACATGCTTCACGGACTAAGAGGTTTTAGAGAGAGGGAGAGAGACAGTTATGTAACTGATAAAGGTAGTAATCATTTAATAAAGGCATAAAAGTTTTGATGATGAGTAACTCATAGATAGAGTCGATCATATCTGGAACAAAACAGTAATTAATGAAAAAACTGTAGATGAGGAGATCTTATTGTATCATACACTGACTGAATTCAGAAATAGAAGAATAATACTAGAGGTGAGACCGCAAATATTTCATCCGGAAAGAGATCAGTGATGTAAAGAACTGAGGGGATAATTAACTAAGAGGAAACAATTGTTTAGCTATCGCAATTTTAAATGACTTCAGTGTTCAAAATGGAAATTAGCATCAACACTAAAATGACTAGGGAGTTATTTTGTTTGTCGGGAAATGTTTCTTCATTGTTCTTTTTACCGATTTGTACTCCCATGATGACGATATTAAAATGTTGTATTATCTGACTAGCGATCATCTTTAGTTTGGAATAATCAGTTATCTCTAAAATACAAGACGGCAGTGCAATAAAGCTGAAGTATTTGTTGTGGTATGTCAATTGTTTAGTGTATAATACAAAAGACATTGTAAACCTGTTATAATTATCTCTTTATTACAACCCAGCTATTCCCTAATGCATATTGGTCTCGGATACCAATTCACTGGACATGTTCTCCTAAATCAGAACATGGTTGAACAGGAAATACAGAATATATTCCAACAACAAGGGTAGAAGGGAGAAAAAAGGTCCAAAGACGTTGTTATATTTATAGTTTTCTTACATGAGAAGATTCTAGAATATTCCCTCAGCATCGGCTAGCGCTGATTGGACAATAAAAGAGCCAATCAGCGTGCAACAACGCAATCCCGTGAACAAAACCTTAATACGTAAATTACATTTACAAAACTGAAACACACAGATAATCACCAACCAATGATTGAGCACAAACAACTCCACCTAGAACCTTCTACGGCCGCTTCCGAACCCGGATAAAGGCGGGGGTTGACAGCCCACATCCCATAAAAAGAAAATTAACTCACTAACAAAACGTGAACCAGAAAAATCATATCAATTCAATTCAAACATAAACACAACAAACAAATGAAACTAAGCAAAGGAAAAAAATAATTAGTACAGTAAAGAATTTGTTTATTTCTAACAAAAAAATTAATAATAATAATATACAATGGTATTTTCAAAACATGTCAATTTCCTTGTTCAGATTTTTTCAATGAACGTATTTTACGTAATTCACGATAGAGAACATTTTGTTGAACAAGTGGATCAAAAGCAATTTTCTCTTTACGTGTAGTTGATAGACGTGGTCGAAAACCAATGATGCAATGACCTGAACCACTGGTACTTTCTAATATAATCATTACTGTTTTGATAAATCCGTGTGATGTTGACATATATATATAAGATAAGATATACAAATAAATAACTAGGTACGTACGTGTTATTTATATTTTTGCTGAAGTTATTATCTGTAATTAAATTTTTCAAAAAAAATGAATATTTAAAATATTGTTTTAAGTTATGTAAACATAGCGGTAAGAAAAGTTCACTATCTCACTCACTCTGTCTCTCTCTTGAAATGATCTCCTATAGCTATGTGCGTGTATATCTGCTGGCAATGTCACGGAAGTTCTGCTCATCAATGACTTCTCGTGTAGAGAGGAGTATTGTTGCAATGAAACTGAAAGTGCTCGGTGTTTTAACCAGGTTACTGGATACACAGCATCCATACCTGGTGCACCTACAGTATCCTGATGGGAAGAAAGTCCTATGAACGTACCATTGGATTGCGCCTTCTAACGTATAGCCTCATTAACTTGTAGACTAGACATCTGAGTTAAGTGTTAGGAGAATGACCTCTGAAGAAAGGTCATATATATATATATATATATATATATATATATATATATATATATATATATATATATATATATATAACGTGCAGATTAAACACAAATTTTAAGTATTCCAATTTAATCCACTTTGTTTATGTGAACAGTAATGATGATATTCAGTTGAAATACTTTCATTGATCAAAGTTTTTCTTGTAACTCAATCGAATAAAAGTTCGAGTGTTTTATGATGTTTCTCTTGACTAGAAGATAGTTTTCTTCTTCAACTAGTGTAGTATCAAGCAAACGACTGAGTACAATTTTTATGAAGTGTGAATGAACAACAAAAGTCGGGTGTGAAGGCACATTCGGCTGACGAGTCGCAAACTCCACTATCAACTCAATTATCTATATCAATCAGAATGGACAGCTAACGAACGATACTATGGGAAACTACAAATGTTGACGAGTTAAAACCTACAGAATGTTTTAGACAGCCATCAGAAAAAAAAACCTGGAAGTACTGAAAGATGGTTCTGGTATGAAACTACTACTCATCAGTGCCAGTACGCATCCACCACAACCTCTTCATCTCGCAGGATTCGAACCCGAGACCTTCGACCTTGCACGCGAACGTCTAAAACCTTTGAACCACTAAACCGATGAGTCCCGCCCATACAAAGACGAAACAACCGCAGGTCAGTGCTTCCAGATTTCTCTCTAACGGTTGATCAATTCATGATTTCAACAGGGACAAAACATTGATAAGCAAAAAAAAGTCATTTCAAAGAGAAGAAAACAGGTAAATCAACCCAAAACACAACACAACACAGCACAACACAACCACACATTACATCGCGTACAGTAAGAGAAAAGAGAAAAAAAACAAGAACACATCATCATCATCATTAGCATCATGATCGATTTTTTGTTTTGTCAAATATAAGTAGTTGCTTTTTTATTTTCTCAACATAAATAAATGACATGTGTGACATAATAATAGTAATAATAATACTAATAATAATAATAATGATAATAATTACTGATAAAGAAATTTTAAAATGTGTACATTTATAAGCAGAAAAAAACAATAATAATAATAATAATAATGATAATAGTAATACTAATACTAATAATCATAATATACTTCCCCTCGCCCATCATGTACTTTACTGTACTGTACCGTATACTATAATTGATTTTGAAAGCAGAAAACGCGCGCCCTTTCTCTGTCTGTCTGTCTATCTATCTGTATATATGTATATAAATGAAGAGCGCAGTTTCGATAATAATAATAATAATAGTCACAATCATGATGATGATGATGATTATTATAAGTGATTTGATAAATACGAGAAACCATTTACCTCTTTGGATATTATAGGCTTCTCTCTCTCTCTGTGTATGTATGTGTGTGCCTAACCCTTTCTCCACTACTCCTCCTTCTACTCTATTAAAAAAAATAGAAGATTTCCATTCTCATTCATAGTGTTCACATAGGAACGCAGTAGTAGTAGTTGTCGTTATCGTAGTAGTAGTAGCAGTAGTAGTCGTCGTAGTAATCCGACATAATGTACCGAATTCAACAATGACATGAATGAAAAACTGAACAAAATAGACAAACAATCAGTCAGTCATAGTTTGATCGTTTAGATTATTTAAGCAAAAATTAATTTTCAAAAAGTAGACAGACGACCAAGAAGAGAAGGAATCGAGGAAGAGGAGGACTAGGAGACGGACTGGGAGAAAGCTACGTAAGCATGAAGCATAGAAAATGTTGCTTTAGAAGAAAGGCGTATATATATATATATATATATATATATATATATATAGCTAGGATATTGAAAAAAACCAAATAATTAATTATTTGAACCACACAGAATGAAAATGATTTATGTACACATAATAGATGTAGAGAGGAAAACAATCGTTTAACGTTCTTGTATAAACAATGTATCTTTGGTGCAAACACCGGCAGTAGTCAGCGAAATCAATGGAGGCATAGAGGAAAGACGTAAACTAGGATGAATACGTAAAATTTCATATTGATTAGCCGGATAACCACGATATTCAAAGAAGGAATGTAAATCCTGAAATATATACAAAATCAAAAGAAAGAATTGAATCGGTTTTTTATTGGTTGCGAATGATAGATTATGTAATAAATAATATTAACTAGGTATTTTAAATAAAGTTCTGTAAACAAATAACAATTATAACAAAACGATTATTAGTCTGATTGACCTGATAAGTATCACTTATCTGGGCGGTGGGGGGGGGGGTCTCATCAGTGCTGATGGCCTGGTGACGGACGAAATCTCAGCTCGGATACAGAAGGCCCGGTTGACTTTTGCCAAATTGAGGTGTCACTTATGGAGTAGGTGAGATATCCGTTTGCTGACTAAAAGGACGAGTGTACAGCGCATCAGTTCGCTTCGTTCTACTTTATGTATGCGAAACATAGCTAGGATATTCGTAAGATACTACTAGTATTTGATCATAGGGATCTTCGAACCATTGTTCGAATATCTTCGGGCAATTGAGTAAGCGATGCTGTCGTTGGGAAACGAGTACTAAGTTGGGATGGCAAATCAACAGATGAAGTATTGAAACTCCATATGGTGGTTAGGACATGTGTAACGAATGCCCAACCACCAACTGCCTCGACGAGCGATATTAGCTGGTGTAGGAGGAGTAGGTTGGAAAAAAGCTAGCGACGGCCAAACTCAAACATGGCACAAATCCATGAAGTCCGTGACAACTGGGTTGAGTGATGTCGGTAGCTGTTGATTACCTGATTGGGGTCCGCGGGACGAAAATCACCGATGGTTAGAGACCTTGAACGACATGGCTCAGAATCGTAGGCAATGGCCCCGATGCATTTATTCTTTGTGTTCTCCCAAATTCTAATTTCCTGAATATCACCTATACATCCAAAACTCTATATTCAAGATTTTCAGGTTTTGAGGAGGGCGCTTAAGATGTAGTACATCAAGCCGTCATTTCATGGTTTACATTTTAAACTTTACTCCGTAACTATATTCGAATGCCATTATTGGTTGGTAACAACTACTTGGTAACCAATATAGTTAGACTCTATAAAACTGATTTAAGTTGATCCACAGGTATTCAGTTCCATTCGTATTGGAGTCGTGGATACATGCATACTGCTACAGAGAGCTAGCTGTACTACACATTCACAGAGAAGGGTGTTCAATGCTGCCTAGTTTGACAAACGAATGTCGTTTGATGCTGTGAACTACAAAAGTTGACCAGTTATCATCAATAGTTAAAATCTAGCGCAATGTGTTTGTCACATTTGACAAAAGTTCAATTTTTTAAATTTCGTTTTAGTACTACACCAAGTTACTTTATCTGCATTAAAGTTTGTTCAATCATCACAACATTCGAGTAAGAGAGAAAGAGAGAGAGAGAGAGACAGCTCAAATTTACCCGTAACGTTAAAGTAGGTTGTAGTCGATACACTTCACGTTTACCATCAGGTAAACGAAAAAGTAATTCCATAACCGGTTCACCCACCGCTGGACTTGGTAATTCAGTTAAAGCATCTGATTTCAAATCATCATTCAATTGATCTGTCGGGCGTAAAGGTCGTCTTGAGGTAATAAGAGCTGTGGTTGATGAAACAAATGCTGAACTACTACTATTACTAGGCTGTTTTTTATCTGAACAGTTGACTACAACACAGTCATCATCATCATCATCATCATTATCATCTTCATTGGTATATTTAGTTCGTTTAGCTCGTTCTTGATCACGTTGTTGTTGTCGGTCGAGATCAGTGGCCGAATATCGAACACCGTTCAAATACTCATCTTCATCGTGATCATCACCATCTTCGTCACCATCATCGTCATCGTCTGTAAGAATGATCTCATTGTCATCATGTGTGAACTGATTAGAAAATTGAAAAAAAAAATGAAAAAACATATTGGACACAATCAATAAAAAGTGATTGAAATCGTTTGAATTAAACACACTGACTACTACTACTGTAGTGAACGAGAGCACAGGTGGGGCGACCGGATTGTATTTAACAAAAATTACAGAGTTACTCAGCAAAATCGGAAAACCATATCGTAAATCGTTCATTTGCAAAATATCAGTTCATCCTATCGAACTGGACTGTTCCTGTTGCAAAACATCAATCCATTGTCACTATTCATGCGTTTCATACAAATTCCATTGTTTTCTAACTCTTCCTTTCTTGATCTGCTCCCCATCGTCTGCTGCCAGATATTACGTTGACACTCACGTCATATACTACTTATAAGTAGCTCGCACCACACTACTACTAGTTAGTTATCAGTAAATGAAGTCAATGATACACACAAGTCTACTGCGCAGCAGTTTACTCCGTCCTATTTTAGGGCTGTAAAACATGGCCAGTCAGAGTAGAGGATATTCGTAAGATACTACTAGTATATGATCATAGGGATCTTTGAACGATTGTTCGAATATCATCAGACAATTGAGTAAGCAATGCAGTAGTTAGGAAAAGGGTGCTAGATAAGGATGGCAGATCGATTGATGAACTATTGAAACTTCATCATTTGAGGTGGTTGGGACATGTGCTACGAATGACCAACCACGGACTACTTCGACGAGCTATGTTTTGTGGTGTAGGAGTAGGTTGCACAAAACCTATGGGCGGCCAAATAAAAGCACGGCACAAATCCATGAAGTCACTAAGAAGTGAAGTGAGTCATATTGATATGTGTCGACTACTTGGGTGGGGTCCGCGAGACGATAGTAAGCGACTTTGAATGACATGGCTCAGAATCGTATGCGATGGTGCAGGTGCATTCTTTCTTTGTGTCCTCTTAAATTCTTATCTCCTAAATTCTTTATCACCACTTTCTTTCTCGTTCTAAAGTTACCTTACTGAATTATACTCCTTGAATAATATATGTTCTAAACCTTAATCTTTTTCCTTACCAGTAATACTTCTACTATCTCTACTACTATGGGATTTGAACTGACAATTGCGTCTCAGTCCTAATGTGGTATGGCAACGTGGATTGACCTATTTACGTACGAAGTTCTACGTTGTAACTGACTGACTGATTGATGGTACACAAGTTGAACATCATTGATCATATAAGATTTACAGTTGAAGAGGAGAAATTTTCTTCGTAAATAACAACATCACTAGCATACACAGTAAGAAAATGTATGTGTGTTTTATAAAAAATTCCCGTACAAGTCACTGAATCGATGGATTCTCGTTGATTTTTTGTCTATAACTATGTTATTATCAGTATATTGAACTATAAAGCTGATGGTGTAGTGAAGGAGAACACAGGTGATGGCAACCGAATTGTATTTAACGAAAATTACAGAGTTACTCAGTAAAATAGGAAAACCATATCGTAATCGTTGTTAATTTGCAAATCTTCAATCCATAATCAATCCATTGTCTGACATTTCACTCACTATTCATGCGTTTCATACACAAATTCCATTGTGTTCCCACTCTTCCTTTCTTGATCTTCCCTCATCTTCTGCTGCCAGACATTACGTTTTTACTGGCGTCATATACTACTTATAAGTAGCGCGCACCACAATGGTATTATTAAGAAAGGCGTGGATGGAACTGACAGTTTACAATTGTCGGCTTACATCATCAACCGATCATAGATAATCAGTTTGTAACATAATTTCATTTATATTAAACAACTCTTTAGCTGTGTTGACACACATTAGTTAACCACTGAATACTAATTAATTAAACTCAACAGTCTGAAAGTGAAGTAGTAGTGCTCGTCACAAGATGGAACACGGTTCAAAGTTTCGAAATTTTCCATGAATCTATCTATGGATTGTACACTGATGAAAGCAAAATTTGAAATCACAACCCAAAGCAACCACTAATAGCTTTCTGATTTTCAATAATCAGCTGAGTAAGATCAAATGGAACCGGAAAAAAAACACCTTAATATCACACAATTGAAATCTTTACTACAACTAAATAGGTTGATAAACAGTTACGCCACTTTTCTGTTGTTGCGTATTTGTGTATATACATACCTACACACACACACACACACACACACACACAAGCATGAATGAATATATATGCACGATTGTATAAGTGAAACATACCTTTCTAACCATCTTATCTTAAAGCTTATAGTTTTTACCTCAGATATATATATATATATATATATATATATATATATATATATATATATATATGTACTTATACAAACATGTAACTCTTTCAATGTACTTTGCCTAATTTTAGTATTCTTACATGAATTGTAGTTGGTTGGTTGAACGGTTGGCTGTTAGTCGCATTTCCATTGAAATATGATGCACAATTAATCGAGCCAATCAGCTTACATCCCATACATGCAGTCAGTCAATTGCAACGTAGAACGTCGTACGTATGTACATAAGTTCATGTTGCTGACATACCACATTAGTACAGAGACGCAAATGTCAAATCAAATCCCATAGTGATAAAGATAGTAAAGGGAATTAATAGTAATGAAGAAGACTAAGGTTTGAAGATATTATTCAAGAAGTATAATTCAGTGAGATAAGCTTAGAAAGACAAAGGTAAAGGTGTTGACGAATCCAGAAGATTAGGATTTGAGAGAGCTCAACGAATGGATGCACTTGCGCCATTGCAAATGATTTTGAGCCATGTCGTTCAAGGTCTCTAACCATTGGTAACTTATGTCTCGCCAACCCCAACCAGGTAGTGTACATCGACCAACATGACTCAGTCCACTTGTCAGTGACTTCATGGATTTCTGCCATGTTTTGCTCTGACCGCCCCTAGCTTTCTTCCAACCTACTCCTACATCACCAAACATAACTCGTCGAGGCAGTCGGTGGGTTAGCCGTACGTAACACATGTCCCAACCACTTCATCTATTGGTCTGCCATCCTTACCTAGTCCCCTTTTCTTAACAACAGCATTGCTTACATGCATATATACGTAACTACAATACATGGATTAATTTCTTACCATAGAAAACGAACAGACCTATTTCTCTGTTTACTTAAAAGAAAACCAGTCAGTCAGTCAGTCAGTTGCAACGTAGAACTTCGTACGTAAGTACATCAGTTCATGTCGCCATACCACATCAGCACAGAGATATAATTGTCAATTCAAATACAATAGTACAAGAGGTAGTAAAGGTATTAGAAGTAATTGGAGAGGTTAGGATTAGAAGATATTATTCAGGAAGTATGATTCAGTGAGATAAGTTTATAAAGTCAAAACTAGAGGGGTTGAAGAATCCAGAAGATTAGGATTTGAGAGAACACAAAGAATAAATTCACCGGCGCCATTGCGAACGATTTTGAGCCATGTCATTCAAGGTCTCTAACCATCGGTTATTATCATCTGGCGGATCCCAACCAGGTAGTCGACAATTACCGACATGGCAGAGTCCACTAGTCAATGACTTCATGGATTTTTGCCATGTTTTGGTCTGGCCGCCCCTAGCTTTCTTCCAACCTACTCCTACACTACAAAACAAAGCTCTTCAAGGTAGTCGGTGGTTGGGCATACGCAACACGTCCCAACCACCTCAACTGATGAAGTTTCACCACTTCATCTATTGATCTGCCATTCTTACCTAGTACCCGTTTCCTAATAATAGCGTTGCTCACTCGGGTGTCCCACGATATACGAGCAATGCTTCGAAGACACCTATGATCGAAAACCAATAACCGACGAGTATCTTCTACTCTCATTGGCCATGTTTCACAGCCATAAAGTAAGACGGAGCGAACTACTGCGCAGTACACTCGTCCTTTAGTCAGCAAACGGATATCTCGCCTACGCCATAAGTGACGCAGGTTGGCAAAAGCCAATCGAGCCTTCTGTATCCGTGCTGAGATTTCGTCAGTCACCAGGCCATCAGCACTGACGAGAATCCCCAGATAAGTGAAGCGTTCTACACGTTCGACTACTTCACTCCCTATCACTAGTTCAGGTGCCGATGAAACCCAATCTTGAAGCAACATTTTGCATTTCGAGGGTGAGAACCGCATCCCGAACATGCTTGCATTGTTGCTTAGGGTAGTCAGAAGACGCTGCATTTTGTCAGCATCTTCACCAAATAGGACTATGTCATCGGCATATTCTAAGTCAATAAGCGAGCCACCTGGTAAAAGGTCTACTCCAGAAAATTCAGACGAGGATAAGGTTATTTCCAGGAGCATGTCTATGATAAAATTAAACAAGAATGGAGAAAGTGGACATCCCTGACGGACACCATTTGATGTAGAGAAGTCCGGTGACAGTTCGCCATAAGCCCTCACTCGACCAGTGGTGTTTGAGTAGAGAGCTTGTATGAGGTTAATGTACTTTTTTGGTACACCTTTCAATGAAAGACACTGCCACAGAACCTCACGATCAACAGAGTCAAATGCCGCTTTTAAGTCCAGGAACACAATAATTGTAGGACGCCTAAATGTGTGTCTGTTTTCCAGGACCTGTCGTAGTGTGAAGATGTGGTCTATACAACCACGTCCAGGATTCCTAATACCAGTTTCCTTGATAAGTCGGAAAAGTTGTCTACTGTCGCCGCTGCCTTTTCCATCGCTTTTGCTTTCGCCACCCACCACTGTTCGCGATCGTTACGTAGGCTTTTCATAAGTCTGCGCCTAAGTTGACTTCGTTCTTCATCGTGTTCAGAGTCAGGTGGGATGAGTTTTCGGGCATCCATCAGATCGGTGGATGCTACTGAGATCCACAGTTTCATTCTAGCCTTATGGTCAACCTTACTAGCAGATATCACTGCTGTTTCCACAGCCTTTTTGATATCATTCCATCCTGCTTCCGGATGGGAATCGCTTAAATGGTCGCCTAACTGTCTTTCTAGTTGTTCCTGAAATATATTTTTCGCCTTATTATCATTAAGTAAAGCCCTAAGTGGCTTTCTTACGGTGTCTTTCCTACGTCCAGTAAGCCTCAAACAGATACGAGCTCGCACTAAGGCATGATCTGAATATGAACATGTGCCCCAGAACGAGCGACAGTCTTCTATCGAACCCCTCCATCGGTGGCTGATGGCGATGTGATCTAGTTGAGTCCAACGTTGATACTACTTCGGGGGTCGCCAGGTCAACAGATGCTTTTCCTTATGCCTAAAGTTGGTGTTCGCTAAGAATAGGCGGTTATCTGAGCATAGTTGCAACAGACGGTCGCCATTGTCTGTTCTCTCAGTCGCTACACCATAACATCCACCAAAATGTCTATCCTTTTCACCTAGTCTACCTACTTGAGCATTAAAGTCACCAGCCATTATTACTATATCAGAGCGCCTAGCTTTTTGGAGGAGGTTCGAAAGCTTTCTGTAAAACTCATCCTTAACCTCGTCTGAAATGCATTCAGTGGGGGCATAGGCAGATACGATAAAGAGTCAACGGCGATTGTCCCTATCTTTCCGAGTCCTTACTGTCCCGTTCAGTCGGACAGCGCACAATCGACTATCTACTGGGATCCAGTCAAGGAGAGATTGTTCTGCCCTACGACTCAAAGCTATGCCTACGCCAGCAAGACCCCGGGAAGCAGCATCAGGGCTACCGGATACACGAAGAGTAAATCGAGCTGCTTCTTTATTTTGACAAGGTGAAATCAGACTAATGACGTGACTCGGATCCTGTATGCGCGTTTCCGAGACGCAGCATACATCGATGGCACGAGATTCTAATGTCCTAGCTAACGAAGCCTGTTTCCCTATTTACACAATGTCCGTACATTAAATGCTCCAACATGTAGTCTAGAACGGAGTTTCAAGAGACCAGCAATGACGTCTCGTGAACTCGCTTCGTTTGCATTAGAGGTGCAGTGACATAAGGGAATGTGAGTAGAGTTAGTTGTGGAGAGAAGAGAGGTATGTGTAGGTGTAGGAAGAATTTGATTTTGACCAATTTGGTCTCGTGCTGTTACGGGTATGAGGGCGGTTGTCACTTCCCGGCTGCCCACACCGTGGAAGGTTGTTTCTTGAGGAACCTGAAAAGGAAGATAGATTAGTGTTGGTGCGTGACCGCAGAGCCCAAAGGACAACTGCTTGAGGCCGGTCACGCACGGCCTTTTTATGAAATGTTTTTTGAGGATTAGCTCCGTTCTTAAAGGCCCTTAGAGGGCACCCTTACTCAAGGAGACGGAAATCCGTGAGTTAGGGGAGGTGTGACATTTTTAGGGCCGACCTTTTCTAACCCTTCCTTCCTTGTGAGAAGGCAGCATCGCTGCAGATGCTGGTTGTCCGAGGTAAACACCTTACTGCTGTCACACCCTCCTTCAGTCAGTCAGCAATACGACTTCGCCTTCAGACCTTGGGTAGCTGCTTTTAGTCTGATCGTTCTCCAATCGACCTGCCTGGCATGGTAAAACCTTCAGGAACATGTGTTCCAGCCAGTATAGTGGAATTCAGGACGCGTGTTCCAATCCCACATGCTGAACATCAACCTTAATTAACTGACCAGCCTTAAATAGGATGAAACATGCATCCTGAATTTTAATGCTGGCCACCTTCTATCTATCCTAATCAACTGCTCAGTTAATATACCTTGTTTAAAAGAAAACCGTGTAGTGTTTTGATGTGTTCAATGTGTAAAAACTAATATGTTGACATTTCTTTTCATTAAAATGTTATTGGATATAATTCCTACGTGTTAGTGGTACTGTGGTGCGCGCTACTTATAAGTCGTAAATGACGAGAGTAAAAAACGTAATGTCTGGCAGCAGAAGAAGGGGGACGATCAAGAAAGGAAGAAGAGTTAGAACACAATGGGATTTGTATGAAACGCATGAACAGTGAAATGTCAGACAATGGATTGATGTTGTTTGCAACAGGAACAGTCCAGTTCGATATGATGGATTGAGATTTTGCAAATTAACGATTTACGATATGGTTTTTATATTTTACCAATTAACACTGTAATTTGAGATAAATACAATTCGGTTGCCCTCAACTATGTTCTCCTACATTCACTACAGTACGATAAATAAATGCTGATAGACTGTTGAAAAATAACATATAAATTCAAATCCTTCAGAAGAGATATTAACTGTTCAATGGTTTGAATTCATTCAGCTTACCACATTTCATAAACCTACTCTAACATAGACAAGACGAGCACAATATAAACAAATACACCTATCATGAATGCATGCATGCATTTACACATTTTATTAAACCAATTAATAGACTGTAATCACACAGATGAAAGTCTCCTATTGATTTACTGAGATTTGAACACCACGGTTAGGCGTTGGCACAAGTAGAAACAATATACAGTATATATAGTTTAGAAGATAGAAGTTCAATGCACCAAATTCATAATGTGAACAAATCAATATCAATCAATAGAGAGATAGATAGATAGATAGATACAAAATCATAATAATTATCTTACCGGTTTTCGTTTAATCTCCTTTTTAGATGCTTCAATTGCGAGTTGCAATTGTTCTTCTTCGGTTAAATCTAATGGATTAGTGGTAGTAGTAGTAGTAGTAGTAGTAGTACAAGTTGTTTGAGATGAATGTACACTATTCGACAAATCGATATATTCAACATCCTAGACAGATATGAATATTAATAATGATAATAATCAATGTAAGACAACGATAAACATAAGAACAAAATAAAACGAATTTCTTGATATATTTGCCTTTTTCTCTTTCAATGCATTTAATCCCTCCCGGAGACCCCCTGGAGCGACTGCTAATCCTAAGCCCAGATAAAGGAGGAGGGGTTGAGTGTGGGTGTGCGGTTGGTGCATTGAACTCCGCCTTGCAGATCGTCTGAAACGACTGCCAATCCCAAGCCCAGATAAAGGAGGAGCGGTTGAGCGTACTGCTAGTGACCATATCCCGTAGGAAACTAACTTTCTAAATTACGCTAACCAGAAAATGCATTCAACTTTAAACTGTTTAACTACTACTACCACTACTACTATGTGTGTAGGTTAAAGTCAGTCAATCAGTCAGCTATAACGTAGAACTTGGTACGTACGTACGTACGTACCAGCATGCCATACCATATTAACACACTCACACACAGATGAAACTGTCAATTCAGAAGTATTAGCGGTAATCGGAAAGATATGATTGGGGAAGTTTAACTCATTGAGATAAATTTCATAAGGGAAAGAAAGACAAAGGTCAGAAAGACCCATTTCCTAATAACAGCATCGCTTACTCGATAGACTCAGACTTCATATACGAGCAAAGTTTTGGAGACATCTATAATCGAAAACCAGTAACCTACAAATATCTTCTACTCTGACTGCCTATGTTTCACAGTAGGACGAAGCAAACTGTGTCACAGTAGACGTGTCCTTTATTCAGCCAACGGATATCTCACCTACGCCATAAGTGACGTAAGTTCGCAAAAGGCCAGTCGAAACTTCTATATCCGCGCTGAGATTTCGTCACACACTAGACCATTGGCACTGCTGAGACTCATAAGACAAGTGGAGCGATCGACACGCTCAACTGTCTCACTTCATATCACTAGTTCCGGTGCCGATACATGTTTTACATTCATATAGTCGGACGTAGCGGACTGCTGCGCAGTACACTCACCCTTTTTGTTAGCTTTTCTTAGAATAAAAATAAGACAAATCTAAAACTATACTGTGTGTATGCGTATGACTGATCAGTTGACCTTAAGATTACATTTCCCGCCCGGAAAATCTTTGACTACCATTGATTGATGTGTTATTTTAGTACACTATTTTTGTATCTCTCCCAAGGATGTTTCTATCATTGTATAAATAAACTCGATTTGTGTGTGCTTGTCGACCTCACATTTTCTGGGTGCTTGTAGAATATACACTTTCTACGCCATATATCAAAACTTAATGGCGCATTGGGACGCTCACATTAGAGTAGCCTATCGTATCACTGGATAATGTCTTCAATGTCATTTACTGACGAAGGTGAACTCAGAATAGTTTCAAGAATATCAACTGTGACGAGCACATAACAGATTTCGAAATAGATTTTGTTGAACAAATAATCATTTATTCGTCGTCAACAGAGAGATTCGTTTTTTATGGTTTAAGTCATTCATGTAAGATCCATTTTGGAAGGCTTTGTTTGTGAAAATCCCTCCATGTATACATTTGTAATTTGTTCTTATTGATTCCTTCAGTTGTACATTTTGTTAATCTGTTCAATTCCATTTCGGAGATGATAATATTTGTATTTTATTATAGTTTCTATTTCTTCTGCCTTTACTGAGTTTCTATGTTTATTTCTGAACTGCATTTATGTTGTTTAAGCTGATACTTATTAGTCATGGCGACAGCCATATTGATTTGTTCCTCTTTTGATTATGGCGCTTGCACTGACTGGAATTGTGCATTTTCTATTGTGAATTGAAACACTCTGTGTTATAAACCAACCAAATATTATCTGTCAAACGAATCTGATCTATCCACGAGGAATTGAATAATATTTATTTGTACTGTTAATTTGATTAATTGAACAATTGTTGAAGGAATAACGAAGTGGTAGTATTTGTTTAAGTAATGATGTATACTTATATTTATGATGAATATTAGAACTGTTATTTGCCCAAATCGCTTGTTTCGGATTTATACTGGGCAATAGCACGTATCTAAACTAACTGGACAGTTTTATTCCTCAGTCATAAACCTCAGTTTGGATCTTACAATCATTTATCGGGTTATAAATACTTTTTCTCATTGGCAATAAAGAGAGTCAATTGGAAATGGCAGAATAAGGTCACTTGATGACAATTAAAAGAGTCCAAAGGAATGAATGTGTATTGTTGGTAAAGAAATGAATTCATTTACATGAGTAGACAATCGCAATAAATTTTCCCTTAAACATTTGTCTTCTTGTTCAATGTAGTAGTCAGTTTGAGATGGGCGGTTAATAATAATAATACAAATAATACTGATAATTGGCTTTATTATTCAACAAGCTTTCTTTACAAAACAATTAGTGATAGACAGTAAGCAGTCAACGAATAGAAATCTTATTAATGTTGATTCTTTTCTCTACAGATTGCAAGCCATTGAGATGTCTCGGATTGTACTCTTTTTAGTCCCTTGTGAAATCGATAGCTCGTACGCTTTACACATACGTGTCTAAATCGATTATGTGATCAACAGGCATAGTTGACATGTTAAAACAAGCAAAAACAAGGAGGTGACTTGTTCAAATATTTTGATGTTCGGAAACAGGTAGCCTAAATGTTCAAGTATTTCAGCGTAATGAAGATTAGCATGTGTCATGTTTAAAACTGGGACATCTTTCATTATGACAATACGTATTTTGCAACAATGATGTGTAAACCCATTGACAGATTAATGATATGACACAACCATTTAAGAATCATATAATGGCATTGTCTTGTGAACAATCACGGCTCAATTGGCTTTTGCCAACTTGCGTCATTTATGGCGCAGGCAAGATATCCGTCTACCAACAAGGACGAGAGTACTGCGCATCAGTTCGCTTTGTATGACTGCAAAAAGTGGCCGGTGAGAGTAGAGGACATTCGATCACAGGTGTCTCCAAAACATTGCTCGTATATCTCGGGACAACCGAGTATGCAATGCCGTCGTTTTGTGCTATAGGAGTAGGTTGGAAGAAAGTTAGGGGCGGCCAAACCAAAACATGGCACAAATCCATGAAGTCACTGAAGACAAGTGGACTGAGTCATGTTGGTAGATGTAGGCTACGAGGTTGGGGTCCGCGAGACGAAATTCACCAATGGCGCAAAGGCATCCATTTATTGTGTTCGATCAAATCTTAATCTTCTGAATTCGTCAACACCTCTACCTTTGTCTTTCTAACCTTATCTCACTGAATTATACTTCTTGAATAATATCTTCAAACCCTAGTCTTCTTCATTACCATTAATACCTCTACTATCTTTATCACTATGGGATTCGATATGACATTTGCGTCTCTGTGCTAATGTAGTGAGTGGTATGGCAACATGAACTTATGTACATACGTACGAAGTTCTACGTTGCAACTGACTGACTGACTGTATGCCTGATAGAGAAGATGTTGTAATCCTACATTGAATCGATTAATTGGCTTACTTCTTAATATGATATAAAGTTGAAGTAAACAAGTAAACCTTTCATTGAACTCTCTCTCTCTTTTAAATAATAATTGATAATATCTCACACTCAGTGTACCAATTGGACTGGTCAAAATAGGTAGTGGTAGTAGTAGTAGTAGTAGTAATAGTAGACAACCAGGAATTTTAAACCGATATTGATTTTGTTTAGCTGTACAACAAGTCACACTATAAATCAAGCTGAATGTTTAAGTTGGAACATACACATACACACACACACACGTACACACAGATACACAAAATGGAATACAGTAATTTCGTTTATGTTTTCTATGCTTCAAAATAAACATTTTGTTTTTTTTGTAACAGGATTTTTGGCGTACTTTAACAGATCGGTCAGTTTAGACACAGACTTGAAGTACCTGGATTGAGTGTTAGTTTTGGTATAATTAAGTGTGTCACAGGTTCTCTCAAATCCTAACCTTCTGAATTCCTCATCATTTCTATCTTTTTAAGTTTATTTCACTAAATTCTACTTCTTGAATAATATCTTCGAACCTAAAATCTCTCCGATTACTGCGAATACTTTTACTACCTTTACTACTGCTATGGGATTTGAATTGACAATCCGATCTCTCTGTGCTGATGTGGTAAGGCAGCTTGAACTAATGTACGTACGTACGAAGTTTCACATTGCTGTTGATTGATTGATTGGATTGTGTAGGTTGGAAGGAAGTTAGGGGCGGCCAAACTGAAACATGGCAGAAATCCATGAAGTCATTGACAAGTGGACTTAGCCATGTCGGTAATTGTCGACTACCTGGTTGGTGTCCGCGAGATGATAATAATCGATAGTTAGAGACCTTGAATGACATCATGGCTCAAAATCGTTCGCAATGGCGCCGGTGCATTTATTCTTTGTGTTCTCTCAAATCCTAATCTTCTGGATTCTTCAACACCTCTTAGTTCTGACTTTCTAAAGTTATCTCACTGAATCATACTTCTTGAATAATATCTTCTAATCCTAACCTCTCCGATTACTTCTAATACTTTTACTACCTCTACTACTATTGGATTTGAATTGATAATTCCATCTATGTGTGCTAACGTGGTATGGCAACATGAACTGATGTACTTACGTACGAAGTTCTACGTTGAATCTGACTGACTGATTGGACTGCGTCGAATTGAGAATATCAGCGAAAAGAAAGACAGATTGATATCAGCCGAAGCATGGACGACCATCAAGAAGTATTGAATAGCTGTAAAGATTTTTAACAAAAATACCTACCCTTCCTTATCTACGTTTGACCTTCAAAGTGACCTCAGGCATATTACATAATCATATGCGAAGGAACTATAAAATGTTTCACGTAAATAATTTGTTACTCAAAATTCAATTCGTCTACTTTCATTTGAACAAACTGTTTAAACTATTCTGAATACAAGAAACAGCTTTCAGTTACAATATTACGTACACACCAGACTACTGTAGACCGTTCGTGGGCTACTGCTAGTCCGAAGCTCGGTTAAAGGAGAAGGATTGAGATGTGAGTTCACGACGCCATCCCGTCAATCAATCGATAGCGAGGTAGAACTTCGTACTTTCGTACGTACGTACATCAGTTCATGTTGCCATACCATATCAGCACAGAGAAGATTCTGACCGATTTGGTCTCATGTGCTTTTATGGGTATGAGGGCGGATGTTACTTCCCTCTTGACAACCATAGCGCTTCCTGGTAAGTTCGTCCCTTAGTATGCTTGAGGCTATTACGAGTTTACCTTAGTCGATAAACGCGAACGAGACAATAAACCAGCGTCCAGGTAGGCTACCTTGAATCCCCAAAGCGAAATAGAAGGCTTTGTAAGCGTAGAAGTATATTCTACAAACACCCAGCAATCACAGTACAATCAAGCATACAACTCTCGTTTATTTATACAACATAAGAACGTCCTTGAGACAGTCACAAAAATAGCACACTAAAATACACAGCAGCCAATCACAGCCATGGATTTTCCTGGTGGGAATTGAAATCCCCAACACTTCCACGGTGTGGGCAGCCGGGAAGTAACATCCGCCCTTATACCCCCCATAAAAGCACATAATGAGACTATTGGTTTTTGTAGAGTAAGTCACAAACAATCTAAAAATCAACATTTATCATGAAATTTTCAAAAAAAGAAATCAAGTATATGCAGTATTACACTTACATTGTCTGATGTTTGTAAACGTGGCCGTTTCATCATGAAACGATCAAATTGTTGGTGGATTTCATCAGCTGGCTGTTTTCTTCTTCGTAGAATAGAATGATTGCCAATACTAGTTGAATCAGTTCTATGGTCTCCAGCAGCGTTAACACTATCAGTACTACTACCACTACCAACACTGCCTTGGCCATTATCAGTAGTAAAGTTGATTCCACCATTAGTAGTAGTAGTAGTAGTGGTACTGTTATTTGGATTAGTCAGTGTAGTGTGTTGTATAAATTGAGATACTAAAATATGATGACAGAAATCAATAATATATATAAATATTGAGCATCTTGAAAATGAGGATGATTTTTGAAGAGGAAGAAAGTAGTATAGTTAAAAAAAAGTCAAGATCAAATAACGAATCAGAAAAATAAAGTTATTCAATGTTTTTGAAATAAAAGTTTATGAAGTTATATTGCATTGTACATGAAACAAACTTCAAACACCAGATCAGCTCATTAAATTTTTATCTGCTTACTAATAACCGAATTCGGAAAGATCTAACTGTTCAGAACAAATAATCAGTAGAGTTAAACCATGTCCAATGTGAGACAGATATCATTGATGACAATGAATAACGATCCTGTAATATACAGAATAGTAAACTAGTGCATATTAAATCAAAGTCCTGACGTTCACAAGTACATTACAGGACATGTAGGGTCCCGGGTTCGATCAATACATAGGATATAGCAACAATTAGTTGGTTTGTCTCATACAAGGATAAACCAACTGTTCAATATGCTCTCTAGTTCGTTTCCAGTAGCTGCATAGTGAAAATCAAATCGTATTATCAAATACCAACATGAGACATGATTTAATGAGGCTTTAAGTTTATAAAACGTGATGCCATGACGCTAAAGAATACATCAAATCAATTAATGTATAGGATCTTGAAAAATAAATTCTTACAGATTACTAAGGCATTAAATTAATGCAGTGCGATAGGAAGTAAAGCAGTGGAGCGTTTACATAGCTTCACTTATCTCGGGAGTCTCATCAGTCTTAAATGGCCTGGTGACTGAAGAAAATTTCAGCGCAGATACAAAAGGCTCGACTGGCTTTTGCCAAACTGCGTCATTTATGGAGTAGGCGAGATATCCATTTGCTAACTAAAGGACGAGTTTACCGCGTATCAGTTCACTTCGTCCTACTTAATGGCTGTAAAACATGGCTAGTCAGAGCAGAGGATATTCGAAGATAACTGGTTTCCGACCACAGATATCTTTGAAGTATTGCTCGTAAATGCTGAGACAGTCAAGTAAGCGATGCGATTGTTACAAAAAGAGTACTGAGTAAGGATGGCAAATCAGTTGATGTAGTAGTGAATTGTTATCAGTTGAGGTGGTTGTGCCATGTGTTACGAATGCCCAACCACCGACTGCCTCGACGAGTAATGTTTTGTGGAGTAGGAATAAGTTGGGAGAAATCCAGAACATGGCACTAATCCACGACGTCAATGAAAACTAGGTGGAGTTATGTTTGTAGGTGCCGTCTATCTATCTCGTTAGGTTTCACGAGATGATAGTCACTGATGATTAGCGACCTTGAATGACATGGCTCAAAACTGTTTGCAATGGTGCCGGTGCACCTACTGTTAGTCATCTCACAAATTCTAACATTCTGAATTCCTCATAATCTCTCTTTCTCTTTCTAAATTAATCTCACCCCTAATACTTTCACTATCTCTACCACTATATGGGATTTAATCTGACAGTTGTGCGCTAATGCGGTATGGCGAGATGAACTGATGTAAGTACGTACGTACGTATGTGCGAAGTTCTTTGTTGTCGTAACTTTAGTCATTCATTCAAACTAATGCAATCAATAAATTACGAGAATACAGATTATCCAAATAATTTTTTTTTCTTAAAAAAAAGGCTAATTAAAATGATACTTGAACGAGACATGCAAAATATTTAGCATTGCTAATTGAGAGAAACACAACTTGTAATTAATTAATTCAAACAAACATTCCCACTTTAGTAATTACATCATTATTAATAAACTAATAATTCAAAGGTGAACAGAGGTCTTATTTTAAACAAGAAAATTGTTTTTTTTTCTCTATTGAACAACGTCAACTTGGAAATTTGTTGTTTATTTACTAGCTGGAACAGGTTAAATATACCCAAATGGCCAATGTTTGTGTTATCGATTGACATTCAACAAAAAAGAATTTTAATTCCTTTCATGTACATAGCTATTTATACACTATTTGCGCTCAGCTTCGTCTGACAAGCAAATGTCTCATTGCTGCATTAATCAACGCAATAATGATTGGTTTTTTAAGAAGAAATAAGTGCGTTCGCACGCAAGATCGAAGGTCCTGGATTTGAATCCTGCGAGTAGTACCAGAAGTCGTGGATGAGCACGGCCACGGATCAGTTGTCCCATGCCAGGATGAAACGGCCGTCTTTTTAGTGAGTCTAGGATTCTAGTACGACGGTTAAACAATGATTGTTTCAGGATATACATCAAATATTCTATTGGTCAATATTTAAGGTCACCCAAAACTATCAAGTTTCCGATTGGTTGGTATTCACAGTCGACCTAACTGTATAAATATGCATTGTCTGTAAAGCTTTATTCTCATCTTCGTTCAACTCCGCCTGTAGGCCCTTTAGAGCTACTACCGGTCCCCAGCCCGGATAAAGGAGTAAGGTTGCAATTGGGGTTGGCGAACCCATCCCGCAAAAAACTAACTTGCCAAAAAACGCGGACAAAAAAATTATTCAAACTATATAAACTCTGATCTGGGAGTTAGAAGGTTTTCATTTAGAAGAGTTATGATGTCTCATGATGAAAGCCGAGTTCCTTCGGAAGTCATAAGACCGTTGTTATGAAACTGAGCTCATATGAGTCATCATACTTGGTCTGTTTGAATACAATAAATGCATTGACGATTCATGTAGGAAACAAAAGGAATACCGTTATTTTGAAACGTATAACAACATATTGACGGCTTTGAGAGAACCAATCAGAATTTGAAATAACCCCCGTTAGGTATTTCGCGCGCAATTTTAAGTGAAGCGGTATGTTACTATGAACGATGTAGAAATTGGTAAATACAGCCCTTAAAATGCTTGATAAAACTGAAAAGTGAATTTAAGATGGTAGTACAGCTAAAATACCATGCATAATTGCTTTCAAGGCAAATCGGATATCGAAGTATTTGTTATGGTTCACTGTGTTTTGGAGAGTGATTAGTAAAAAGCTAGACAATATCCTCTCCTCTTCTTCTAATTTTTACTCTAAGTTTCAACGATCAGTTTGTGAACAGTGGAATGACGAAGTATTTTTAAATCACAGCTGATGTCATCAGTTCGTGGTGAAAACTCTGACCTTAATTTGAAAAACCAAACTCTGAACTCCGGTTTAACTTTTGACAATGAATCCCAACCCTTTTTCACCATAGCTAGTCTCAATCGGTGACGAAAACTCAGTGAAGGTGATAGCCGCAACTCTAGCCGGACCTTTTAGTACGCAAACTTAACCACTTTCTTCCACTACACGGAATAATTGGATATGTGAGGGTTGAGTATTAATCCACAAAGTACTTCATTATGTTTAGTTTTCGGTTTGTTATATAAAACTGGACAGTGTTTGCTGGGGCGGCCAGACCAAAACATGGCAGAAATCCATGAAGTCATTGACGAGTGGACTTAGCCATGTCGGTAATTGTCGACTACCACCTGGTTGGGGTCCGCGAGATGATAATAATCGATAGTTAGAGACCTTGATTGACATGGCTCAGAATCGCTCGCAATGGCGCCGGTGCATTTATTCTTTGTGTTCTCTCAAATCCTAATCTTCTGGATTCTTCAACACCTCTAGTTTTGTCTTTTTAAACTTATCTCATTGAATCATACTTCTTGAATAATATCTTCTAATCCTAACCTCTCCGATTACTTCTAATACCCTTACTACCTCTTCTACTATTGGATTTGAATTGACAATTACATCTCTGTGCTAATGTGGTATGCCGACATGAACTGGTGTACTTGCGTACAAACTTCTACGTTGTAACTAACTGACTGAGTGTTTGCTGATTGGTTGATAGGTCATTCAAGAGTATTCAATGTATCATAACTTTTGCCAAGATAATTTTTTTTCAGAATCCAAAAAATTCATCTCTAGTTTCTCTCTCACACACACACCCACACATCATCTAATTCTTTTTTCTCAAATCGTAAATCACGTACGTCAACAATGACTTGATTTTTTCTTCCCTGAACTAAAGAACAAAACCATATCTCATCTATCAGTCATTATATTGTAAAGTAGAACAGTGAATAAATTATCACAAAGTATTTCACCTATTCACGAAAAACATTATTATTATTATTATTATTATATGCCTCAGTTTCTAAGCCAGCAAGTAGGAGAAGCTAGAATATTGATTGGAATAATTGAAGCGTTCAAATTCTTATCTCATAACATACATTGACTGCAATGCAACATTTTCAATGAGCGCGCACGCACACACACACACACCTACATACACACAAAACACGCTTGTAGTGTTGTTGAATAATAACGTACAAGATGACTGACAAAATATAAGGTCACACTACTTTTAGCCACAACATATATATATATATATATATATATATATATATATATATATATATATATATATATGTACCCGTACTCACTGATGGTATGTAAATTCGCTAATAGTCACAGCAACAACACCATAACAATAGTGGTGTACGCTCAGTCGATCAGTTGAGGAATCAACCGCCACAACAACGACGATAACGAAGTAAGCGAAAGAAATTCAAGCTTGGATTGTCGTTCCAACACACATCCGGTCTATTCAGAATGTATCTCATCATGGCAACATACACATCGTCGGTATGTGTATCTGTGTCTATATATATATATACATATAACCAGCATGAAAAGTGGAGAATAAAAAACATGCACGTCCGCACACAACTACAGCGGTTGCGTGTGTGTGCGCGCGTATGTGTATCAGAGTGTGGACTTGATCTACCATTACAGGATCACATGACCGACCTTAGCCAACTTCAAGTACATACACACACGTGCGCACGCGCAATTATCGATCGGCTGAGGATGACTATTTCTGAATGTATTTCTCTATCTTGTCGCTAAGCCAATCAGAAATGTACCGAGAGACATTATCAAATCGATGCCTCCTATTTCAGTAATGGACAGTTTAATGCTTATCCCGCCAAAAACGGTGTCTACTCGCGGATAAAATTCAACATTT